ACACTTTATGCCAGCACAGAAATGCATATATTCAAAATGCCTTGCCCATGTTACCTTCATCCTATAATATCTTTGGTAAATAGTAGAGCAGTTATCATGATTTTATTGGAGAAAGTTCTGGATATAAAGGAGTTCAATAATTCGTCAGCAGGTACAAGGTCATGAGGTGAAAAGCAGGACTTGCCAAAGCTACAGCTAGTCATCCGGAGATAGGGTTAAACATTTACTAGTAGGTGTCTGGCAGCTGCAGAGTGTTCAGCGACTACAAAAGGCTGTTCTAAAGGATCATCTTGGTAATGGGGTTTGATGTTGGCAGAGTTTCCATGTCATGAGAAGACCTGGAAGCTTTTCTCATGCTCCTTCCTGTTTTTCTCCTGTTACTGCCTTATGTAAATTTGATTATTATGCAAAAGAACCCAGAAGAGAAGAAGGAAATTTTTTGCATCACTACATGCACAAGGTGAGCGTGTTAGGTCTGCATCCGAGTTGGTCAGTTGCCGACAGTCAGGTGAGACCATACTTTCTGCTGCAACCAGGGCTTGCTTGTAAGTCAGAAACTTGGCAAATGGCAGCGTCTAAGAAACAGAAACAGCCAAAGCTCCCAACAATATTCCTTCTTATTCGTGTCACTTCCCTGTATTAGGCAACTGCACCCAAAATGGCAACACAGATGAAGGAGAGCTGCTCCCTGTTCTCTGTCCTCTGTCTGCTCACCAGGTAGAATGTGTGTCTGTTAAGAGCGACTGGTCAGTTTTACAGCGTTTCCATTGAGCGTGCTGGGTGGACAAACATAGTGTTCCAGTCTTGAGTATGCGAAACAGTCTAGTATTTCTATTTAATAATTGTATTATTTATTTGTGTTAGGACTGTAAACCTACTTTTGCCCACCTCTGTGTGGGAGGCTCAGGTATGAACTGTGTATAATTTGGGTGATTCCATGAGCAATTTAAATGCTTTTATATTTGCATTTAAACTGGCATTGCATAATATCTTTGCCAATAGTAAAATTCATAGTGATCATTTAAAATTTAATTTTTCTTTACTTCAAATGAAATTAAATAACAAAAACATGCCAAATCAAGAGAGAGCCGATGGGGTGGGGGATAAAAAGGTTTTGTAGTTTAACACCTGTAACAGGATGTCCTGCTTTTCCTCAAGTCTGTATCAGAAGCTTCTAAGCGCCAGATATCGTTTCCCCGGACGGACTGTGGGCTCCTCAGGCCAAGACCCATCTCCTAACACTTTCCTTCGATTCCTGCCGTGTGTACCCGCTGTTCCTCCAGTGCCCCAGTCACAGTAAAACAGCTGTCATTCCAAGCATCTGGCCAGGCTTTTCCCAAATACTCAGCATCGCCTCCGCCACCAGCCTGCTCTCCGCGTCCGAGGACCCGATGGTCCAGTTCAGTGAGGCCCACGGCCGGCTTGTGACCGAGTCTGGACCAGATTCCTGGTTTCTTTCTTTTATATCTCTTTCGTTTCTGATAGTGAAAATGGGCTCGGCTGAAGTCGAACGTTTCCAAACACGCTAAAGTCACTTTAACAATTTAGAGGACGTGAAACACTGGCCCTGGGGTTGGGGAGAGCCCGTTCCCTTTGCCGTCCCTATTTGGAAATGCGGGTCTCCAGCGGTGACTCACAACTGAACTGGGGCGGAACGAACACGGTCCCCTTCCTCTCCAGTGCCCGCAAGATAGCGCTCAGGCACTCAGCGCTGGTCCGGCCTGCCCCCCTCCATGCGATTGGCTGAGTGGCGGCCAGGAGGAGCGAGACAGCCGGGTTGGTAGGGAAGTGAGGAGCAGAACCAAGCGAGTTCGCCGGTACACTTTGGGGGAGCTGAGTCCAGCCTGAATTTACTGAGCACTTTCTTGGGACTGGTTTCAAGATTGTACTTTCTGCAGGACCAATTTACGTAAGCATTCCCTCCGGCCTGGCTTTTTGAAGGCACGTCCGCTTAGTTCCGCCGGACAGAATTCTTGAGTGCACTGATGGTGGGCTCAAATTAGTGAGCACTTCCTTCGGACCGGATTATTGGGTGCACTTCAACCGACTCCAAATTACGGGAGCACTTCCTCCCGGCCCAATTTATGTGATCACTTCCTGCGGACTGAATTCTTGGGTGCACTGTCGTCGGGCTCAATTTACGTGTTCACTTCCTCCGGATCTGATTCTTGGATGCATTCCCACTTCCGAGAACGTTTCTGTCGGACTGGATTCTTAAGTGCGTTCCTACGGGCGCGCTCTGTGTGAAAAGTTTCTCCGGATTGGAATCGTCAAGTGCATTTCTTCCAGGTTGGGCTCGCGTTCTGCTTTTTGGGGGTGGGTTTGGGGATTGCACTTAAGCCGGGCCGGGCCGGCTGGCGGTTGCACTTTCTACTAATTGGCTTCGCTAACGCATTTTCGCGGTGCTGGCGTGGAGGGGGGCTGGTCAGGGTTCGGTCTCCGTCTCACAGGCCCGCGTCAGACTGGCAGAAAGAGCGGGGTCCGGTGGCCCGGAACTCAGAGCACCGCAGGTGCAGGAGCCTCCTCTTGTTAAGTCCGCGTTGGAAGCGCCACGCCAACCCCCACGTGCTTTGTGGTCTGTCAGGTCCGTGTGGCTTAAAGCACACGGACGACCAAACTTCCCTGAGTCCGGCTCTTGTGGTGGTTCTATTTGATGATGTGCCAGTTCGGTTTGCGTTCAGGATAAATGGAGAAGGTATTGTACACTGGCCGATTAACTCACTATGTATTGTTTTATTGCTAATAAGATCTAAGCTAGTGGAAAGCATCATTTAGGAGCGGCCTCGTGTTCTTTTCGTGACTGATTCCTGAAAGCCTTTCTCCAAGGGCTGGGGAGATTGAAGGGTGTTTGAAAGATGCCTGGTGGAAGCAAGTGTAGGGAGAACACTAGAGGGCGCCCTTGCACTGTTTGAAGTTCTGTGCCCAGAAACCGAGGGCCCAGCGCTTGGACGGCTCGGTCACACAGCAGCTGCAGACCTTTACTGGGTTTTACTAAGTACCAGGCATGGAATTTAATGCTTTCAGTAGCTATTCTAAAAACACTGTATATAATAAGGCCCGTGGTTTAGTTAGTCACATTGTGACACTATTTTCTTGTTTTTGTAATTGTGCTACGATTATGGGTAAAGAGTATAGAACTGCTCTGTACCTTTCAGGGAAATTCTAAGATATTTTTCCAGGGGAAATAAAAGTTTAGAGAGGTTAACCCATGTCATGTAAGAACATGACAGGATTTCAGCTGGGTCTTTAACCATAGCCTGTGCTGATCTGTGGGTAATCCACGTTTCCTTAAACGTGGCCCTGCTAAATCTGCTATTAATGGAAAACTGAGACTGCGTACGTCATTTGTCGTCACTAGATATGATACTGCTATTCCAGTCTTTGTCACAATGACTTTACTGTGCCAGGGAAGTCTTGTCATAGAAGGTAAAAGTTGTAAATAATCATGCTTGTTTCAAGAACTTGCCCTCATTTCTTTTTTTGAACATTTTATTTATTTATTTTTAGAGAAAGGAGAAGGGATGTAGAAAGAGAGGGAGGGAAACATTGATCACTTTCCCCATTGGGGGGCCGAACCCACAAGCCAGGCATGTGCCCTGACTGGTGATCAAATCGGTGACCCTTTGCTTTGCAGGAGGACACGTAACCCACTGAGCCACACTAGCCAGGGCTCCTCTGCCCTCGTCAACGTTCCTTTTTGGCCTTGCATCTGGTCTCTATCCTTCATGGACCCCGTGTGCTCCGTCTGTGATGACACTCTCCGATTGGAGGCCCTGGCTCCGCTGCCCAGATTAGGTCTGACTCTACTGTGCCCTCATTCATCAGTCGCCCAGATGGTCGTCTTTTCCTCGATTTTTTTCTTTTACTGTCTGTAATCGACACAAAGCATACCGCTTTCCCCTGCAGCATCCCTGCAAAGTTACAAATTGGCCTTTCACTCTGAGTCCTAAAGTGGGATTACTTCAGGGGAAATATTCTTGAGTGAAGCAATCTCATTTTTTTTTTAAACCACTAACCATTGAGGAAGTGACCACGAGTCCATCCGGGGGGTTGGAACTCTGCCCAGGGGACCCTCACAGGAAACAGGCAGAGGAATTGTGGGGTCAGGACAGGTGGGCATGTCGGGTCTGGTGAAGGACCTTCTCTGGCAAGTCTTGAATTTCCTACAGAGGCTGACAGGTTCCTGGTGTCTCCTTTGCAAGAACAGTTGTGATGTTTGTCTGTCCCCACATCCCTGCACTGTCACCTCCATCCTCCCACAGTCTGTTCTGCCATCCCTGTCCTCTGGACAACTGGTCTCTCTGCCGAACCCATTCTTGGGCCTTTGATTCTCTTATGTGCTGTGCTTGTTCATCAGGTCACTCTTGTTCCTGACCTTTCTTCACCCTTTTGTGGCATCACATCACCTAGTCCTCTTGTTTGCCGTCTTCCAGTGTCTTCCTCAAACGTCGTCAGACCGTTTTGTTGATGTACGTGAGCCGTGTGCCTCCAGTACATGCGTTCCAGGTTGGTAGGGTGTGGCACAGTGTGGTACCATAATGATGTCATTTCCTGTGTATTTCCATGGCGTTCGAATGCTGTGCTTTTCATTTCAGATGATGGGATCGGAAGTGAAACAGGACAATTAATTCAAAAGCAGAATCTTACTGTAGATGTGGAATCCCAAGAAAAGTTATGTGACAGAACCAACAGAGAGGTTCCTGGATGTGGGGACACCCTAGGCCCCAAAGGGTGGACAGAAAGACATCAGAGAAACACTTCGACAGAGAGAAGATCAAAGTGTGATGAATGTGGGAAAAGACTTGCTCAGAACTCAAGCCTCACTGGACCTGAGAATTGACCCTGAAGAGAAACCCTTTCCCTGCAGCCTCTGTGGCGAAACTTCCACCGGGAGCCCACCTCGCCGGGCATCCGGGACCTGCCCTGGAGGGAAGCCGTTCTGGGGCAAGTGAAGGTGGCAGAGCTTTTCCTCACAGCTCAGCCTGTCAGCATCAGGCGACATGCACCGGGACAGGCCACATGGAACAATCACCGCGGAAAACGCTCGTCCACCCCCAGAGGACCCGCAGCGTGAGGGGCCCCATCCGGGTGCCGATGGCGGGTTGGCCTCCAGTCATCGCGCACATTGAACATCTGGGAATAGAGGAGTGTGCATGGGGGAGGGGCCCTGGTGGCTCGGGCAGAGCTGCTCCTGGCACTGGTTCCCCGGGGACACCAAGTCGCAGGCTACAGACCTGGTGGTGACTGCTCTGAGCCCTCTGCTGTGCACCCCGGAGTCACGTGAACACAGCTTCCAAGCATGAGACCTGCTGGACTGGCCAGTGGTCGATTTGTGAAACTGCTCAGAAGTAAGGGGCTCCGGAAATTGGAGTGTTTACCTTCCTCTTCCCTGCCCGTTCCTCTCCTTCCTGCTTTTCTTGCAGTTGGAGGAATAGTCTTTTCCAAAGCGTGAGTTCAGATTTGACATATGAACTATTTCGGAAAAAAAACCCAAACCTGAATTGTTGGTTAATGATGAAATATATTAACCTATCAATTAGTCATACTAAAAACAGGGTAAAACACAAAGACTATTTTATGACACTGGAATGAATTTCGGTGTGCGGGGGGCGTGGGGGGGAGCAACTAGACTGCCGATTCCCAGGGCCGATCACATCTTGGACCAGAGGTGGCAGTTGCGCCCCACCTAGGTTTGTTTTGTTTTGTTCCTAATAGAAAAGTATAGCAACTCTTTAAGAATCAGCATATTTCACATACAATCTGACTTCCCTTACAAGTTCCCTTACAAAAATAGTGTTCACCATTTTTGTTTCAATATTTGTGTTCTATAAGTAAATACTTACTTAAGTCCTTTGTGACGCTTCTATCGGCTTAGTCATATTTTTCTTATTCCTGAGTATCCTGCCCGCGGACTTGCAAGCGTGGGTGCGGGCGCAGCACCCTGAGACTGGTGAGCAGGCTGTGGCTGTGCTGGAGGATCTGGAGAGGGAGCTAGATGAACCTCCGGAGCAGGTGGGAAGGGGTACCGCGGCCATGCGGAGCAGCCAAGAAAAGGCATCTGGAAGAACAGGCTGGGGGGCGGGGCACAGTAAAGTTACGTCAGACTGAAGCTGTCAGTGAGAAGTTAGAGGAAGAAAACAGAATTTTCTAACATCCACATATATAGGGTGAGCTACCTTGTAATAAGAAATCTCACTGCCCAGAGGAGGACTCAGTTTGGGGTTAGTGGATGTCAAGGATACTACAGAACAGCACCGTCCAACAGAAATATAATGTGAGCCCCATTTAAATAAAAACAAGTGAAATTAGTATGCTTTGGGTAACCTAAAATATGTAATCAATATAAAACTGAAGTATTTTACCTTTTTTGTATTATGTTCAATATTTGGCGTGTATTTTACACTTTGCAGGTCTCAGTTCTTACTAGCCCTGTTCGAAGTGCTCAGTAACTGCATTGTACTGTGGCTGTCGCATTGGTCAGCAGTGACCAGAGAAACGCCCAGTTGGTGGGAGTCGGTCTCCATTCCGAGGTGCAGGACTGAGATCCTGGACCTTAGCACATCACTGTGAAAAGAGACACTGTATGTCATTCTTGGTGTCCAGAACGGTGGAGATTAGCCTCCAGGGTTCTCCGCACTTTTAGTCATTACTGCCATTTGCAGCTTAACAAGAATTCATACTTTTTTCTACGTCCATGGTCCCTGACAGATGCTCATTTTGATCTTTTCTCTGGATTTCTTGCCGTTCTTTCAGGAAAATCTACCTTATGAGCCCGATCACGCTTCCTTGTCCCCAGGTCCAAGCCCAGTCAGAAGGACAGGACACACTCCTGGACAAGTTGGCCCCCTCCGGGAGACCACCTGAGTCACTGGCTGCCCAGCTCCTCCCCAAGAAGACCCAGCAGGAGCCCCAGGCGAATGGTAAGGAGCAGGTTTCAGGTATGAGGGAAGGGGCACCTCCTTCATTAGAGGGGCCTGCTCACTGTCACCTTCTCCTTTCCAGCTTTCCCTCCTTGTCCTCTGCCTCCCTGTGGGAGATGTCATCCCCTTCTACCCTTGACCCATCATGGAAATTATATTTTTGTTTTTCATTAGATTTAAAAGTGTTCTTTGGCCTAACCTGTGGGGGATGGTACTTAAGTTAATACCTATTGTTATCTGGTGATTCTGTCTTCAGATCACCTTACATTTCCATTTTGAGCAGGGGGACTTGCATGACCTCTTGTGTTAGTCTGTGAAGGCAGCTGGAACAGAGTACTGCAGACTAGAGGCTTAACAGAACTCTGCTTTCTCACAGTTTCAGAGGCTTAAAGTTCAAGACCACGGGGCTCCTCTGATGAGGGCTCCCATGTGTCCCCACGTGGCCTCTTCGCTGTGCCCACCCACACCCGCTGTCTCTCTCTCTCTTCTTGTACCTGCTGGGTTAGGGCCTTGACCTTATGATCTCCTTTACCCCTAATTACTTGTGTAAAGACCCCTTTTCCAAATGCAGCCCCAGTGGGGTGAAAACTACAATGTATGAATTGGTGGGAGCACAGTTCGATCCATAACACACCCCCACACTGGAGGAAGTGGAGCAGAGAGCAAGAGTCAGTCAGCAAAGGAGGTGTTTGGTTTGTTTGTGTCTGCAAGTCGAGCTGACAGGGTTTTGGTTGTGGTTTGCTGCCCATCCCACTAGGTTGCTCACTAATTAAAATGATGTTGTCTTGTGCATCCTCAGGCTGTACTGAAAGGGACACACATTGCACCCAGTTCACCCAAACTCTGCTTCCAGGGCCCCAGCCCTCTGTGGAAACATTCGTGTCTGTGACACCTCCCTGACTCCACTCTCACTGCTGTGAATCTCCCCAGTGTGGCTCTCTCATTCTCTGGGGTCCCCGACTGGTGGTTTGTCTCATCTGCAAAGTTCCTTAATCTAAGATATTTCTGGCCAATATCTGGAGGGCACGGCATTCACGTCTATAATTTAAAGGAGCCTGTTAGTGCTTTAATGTGGAGTGTTGGCTATTGTTGGCTTTAGAGGTGAGGTTGAGACCCTTTTCTGTTCACACTTCTTTTCGTTGAATATTTGTTGAGCAGGAGCTCTGTACCAGGCACCCGAGAGGATAAGGTGCCTGAGTTCTTCAGACGGCTCCCCGTGGCAGGCCTGCGAGGCGTCAGTGTGTTTGTGTGAGCTGAGATGGGGGACGTTCCAGGCAGAGAGGACCGTGGGGGAAGGGGGCAGAAGAGTATCACACACCCCGAGAGAAGCGCCTGCTCTGAGCTGGGTTTCACGTGGAGAATTTTGTGGGTGGGAAAATCGAAGGCCAGTGGTGAGATCCCCGAGCACCATGTGGAGGAAACAAACTTCACGCCACCAGGTGAGGTCTGTCACAGTGTCTCACGTAGAGAAGTGGCTGACACAAAAACCATGGTCTGGGATTCCACTGCTTAAAAATGACGTGGAAAAAGATTGGAAGGATCATATGTCAGTGTAGACAAGGGATATTTCAAGATAATTAGATCATTTTCTTCTCTATTTTCCAAAGTCTGTAAGTGAAATAACAGCTCTAGTAGAGAGAAAAGATGTTCATACCAGGGGTAGGGGAAGACCACTCTCAAATACAGAGGATAGTCCGCCAGAGCAAGAGTAAGGCTGGGGAGAGAAAAGGGGGAATTCAAGAATACTTACTGTAGAAGGAACAATCTGATTGGATATGTGGGGGGGGGTCAGTATTTTGATACAGTCCACGTCTGGGCAACTTGGCAGATAATGGCATCAACAAGAAAGAAAAGTCACAAGGGCTGTACAGGCAGACTTCCTTTTATTGCACTTAGCATCGTGGTGTTTCACAGATGGGTTTTTTATGAATAGAAGGCATGACCCTCCACCTGCAAAAAGGTGACAGCTTGCTTGATTGCAGTCATTGCATTATGGTGGTGGTCTGGAACCGAACCTCAGTTACCTCCAAGGTCTGCCTATATCTGTGTGGGTAGAAGAGCTGGCGTGAATACAGGTTTTCGTTTTTTGTGGGGTTCTTTTTAATCCTCACCAGAGGATAAGCTTATCAATTTTAGAGAGAAGGGAAGGGAGTGAGAGAGGGAGAGAAACAGCGATGCAAGAGAGAAACTGGTCGGTTGCCTCTTGCATGCACCCAACTTGGGACCAAACCCACAACCCAGGTGTGTGCCCTGACCAGGAATTGAACCTGTAACCTTTTTGTTTATGGGATAACACTCCAGCCAACAAAGCCACACTAGCCAGGGCTGAAGGAAGTAAAATCCAGCAGGCGGTAGAGTTTAATGTTCTAAATCTGGGAGAAAGGTAGAGGAGGAGGTGGAAATTTGGGAGTCATCTGGGTAGATGACAGAATACATGGGTATAGCCAAGGTTGACCAGGAAGAACATATAATACAGTGAAAGAAGCTCAGTGAAGTTTGGGTGGAGGGAGATTCCGTAAAGGATGTAGGAGACATAGAAAAGCAGAAGCGGGTGTCACTGAAACCAAGGGAAGAGTCAGCCAGACACAGTCGCTTTTCCTGACAGAACACAGGTAAGGACCGATCATCTCAAAAAAGGATTCAATCCAGCACATGCACAAGGTCACCCACTATCCCCTCCTGCTTCCCCCGTCCCTCTGATGGCTCTTGATCACCACGTCACTCCTAACCCTCTTATTTATCCTGAGCATGTCTGTAGCCCCTGTTCACACGTACCACTCTGCATTTGCACAGGTTTGCCAGGTGACCCCTGGACCCACATTTTTGTCTTTTCCTCTCTTCCTAATCTATTCCCAAATACTGTATCCTGCTGCTCTCTTCCTCCCTGGCCTCTTGCTGCCTTCCCTTTATCTTCATAATCTTTTGATGGTGCCAAAATACCTCATTTGTGTGACTTTTCAATTTTTAATAAAACATTTGTAACACTTGTATGTTCTGTCTTCCGTAGGCTTTTTGCTTCTCAGACCTAAAATAGGGTCTGTTTGTTGCAGGTGATAAAACCAGGACTGAGAATTAAGAGTTATCCTGGAAAGAAGATTCTGTGCCCAAGGACACGGAATTTCTCGGGAAGGTAAACAGCAAAGTGAACAAAGACTTCCCTCAGCATCCCAAATCCAAAGATGCTTCCGAGAGTGCGGGCAGGCCAGAGAGGCGACAGGGGAAAGAAGACACTACAAGTGTGATGACTGTGGGAAAAGCTTCAGTCACAGCTTAGCCCTTAGTAAGCACAGGAGAACTCACACTGGAGAGAAACCCTATAAATGTGATGAATGTGGGAAAGCCTTCAACCAACGCTCACATCTCATCGGACATCACCGAGTGCACACTGGAGTGAAGCCCTATAAATGTGACGAGTGCGGGAAAGATTTTAGTGGGCGCTCAGGTCTTGTTCAGCATCTGAGAATCCACACAGGTGAAAAACCCTACAAGTGCGAGGAGTGCGGGAGGCCCTTTCAGGTAAGTTCAGCCCTTATTAGACATCAAAGAATTCATGCAGCAAAAAGAAACACCAGTTCCTTAGCAGCTCAGGTCTGATTAGAGACTTTATGAGTATCCTGAATGAAGTCAAAGCTTCGAGCATCATTAAAAATTTCCCTGGCATCACAGAATCAGGCAAGGGCATTTTAGTTCTTTTCTGTGAGGTGCCAGGTATGTAATTAGGTTGAAGTAGATGAGAACTGCTTTTGGAATTACTAACTAAAACGATACAATTTGTTTACCATCATTGTTGATATAATGGCCTAAATACCTAAATATTTATTCCTTTTTTATCTTTAGTAGGGGATATAATCATTTTGTGCAGTTTTTTTCTTTGCCAATGATAAAAAAAGGAAACCATGAGAAAAGTCAGCAGGCTAAAGAAGACAAATGGGAAGGGAAGCAGTAAGTGAGGAGTAGCAGCTGCCAGCACAGGCAGTAGGGGGTGTAATGAGTGTGTTCAGGATCTGTAACTCCAGACACGTCGCTTCTCTTCTGAATACAAACCAGTGATTTTCAACTGCTGTGTCACAGGAATTTTTAAAACACGCAGTACTTGTTTAGTCAGGGGCACTGACCTCATTTCCCTTAGATTGTCAAAGAAAAAAATGACAACAGCCAACACAACAATAGCTGCCTGGTATGAATGAATCAAAATTATACCCATTTTTGTCAGGTCAGCAAAAACTATATTTTTGATGTGCTGCGGAGTTTCAGTACTTAATTCATGCGCTCCTCCAGATGAAAAAGGTTGGAAGTTGCTGCTGTGACCTGAGGCACATGGTTGAGGTTGGTCTGGAGCTGCATTCTCCGGTGTGGTAGCTGGTCCCAGAGGTGGTCGTATAAATTCACACTGAACACAAGGAGAATGGAAAGTTCATTTCCTTAGTGACATCACATTTCAGTGCTCAGTAGCCATGTGCAGCAAGCAGCACCTGTGTTGGACAGCACAGACCGAGACCATTTTCATCACTGAGTTGTAAAGGGCACCGCTGTCCTGGTCAACCACAGATGAAATGCCTTCCAGCTCTGCCGCTGTGACTTCTGAGTTCAGGGAGGCAGCCGGAGACACCTGAGGAGGCTGCAGTAGCAGCAGAAAGTAAAATATACACCAGAAGAAAACAGTTGAGTAATAATGACACTTTTTGGCTATAAAAAGGAGGTTTATTCTACTTGGAGGAAGGTGATTACTAAAGTAAGTGTAACAGCCTAATAATTTAAATTAAAAGCTTAAGATACTATCTCATCTCTATGAAGAGCATAATTACAAGGTAGCATCCTGTCAGGTAACCTACACCAGCAGGAGAGTGGGAGGCCTGGGACACCAGTACTGTGAGATGTGTTAGCACTTCGTGGACTTGAACTGAGTAACGTGATGGGAATTGTGGCCACGGCCCAGCACCTTCAAACTTGCAGCATTGTCCAACTCTTAGGACCCACGGGTTCCAGGACCAGAATGACCAGGGAGTGACCTAATTTCTCATTAAGAGACAATTACACGCTTGCTTTTTGCATTGTGTACTGTGTGTCTGCTACTGTTGATGTTGATTCTGAAGTGCCACCCTAGTGTCCATTACCCGGTGTGACCAGAGAGGCGATGATAGGAGTTGGGACAGAACACTCTGGGGCCAGGGACCTCTGGAAGGATGTAGGCAGGAGAGGAGAGTCCAGTGGGATCTGGGATAACAGCAGACATGAGACAAGGGAGAGAAGAGGCTAAAGGATGGCGGGGCAGGAGCTGGACCTATCTTCACAGGCCCGTAGAATCCACAGGAAACTGGTGGGGAGGGTGCGAGCAGTTGGAGAGAAGAGCTCGTGTGTCGGGCACTGATCAGAACCACTGGGTTCCAGCAGAGCCATCCTGGGTGGGCTGCGCATGCTCTGAAACAGCCCCGAATGTGGAAGGCAGTTACTCAAATAGTTGTCAAAAACATACGTGTTTTTCTCCCATCTTTTTGGAGGGATTTTTTAAGGGAGACAAGAACTCCCTAAAGATGGGAGTTTTCCTGAACTAGCTGGACAGGTGTGATTGGTAACTACCTCAAATTTGGGATTAGCCTGGGCCAAAAAGGCAGGAACAAGGGTACAGGGAAAGGCACAAGGAGAGGGAAAGAAGAGAATGGCGAGTAATTCTGAAATTGGTATCAACCATGTTTGGCAAAGGGTCACCTGACAGAAGCCACGCAAAGATGCACATGTCGGCTCCACCCCCCAAGGTGCCGTGAAGTCTCAGGTGCACAGCGCACACTCCCAATGTTACCTTTGCTGAACGTGTTACCTACATGTTCATCCTCAGCATGAATTCTTAGGTCTCGTCAAGAAGTCCATCAACGGTGACCACTCAACTAGCAACTTTGTCTCCGGCGCCGGGTCTCGACACTGTCTCAGGCCGGGGCGCTGGGCTGTTGGACGTGCCACTGTACGAGGACTGGCTGCCACCACCGTCGCCACGATGGGCGCCGTCATTCCCCTACGGTTCACGATTACCACCATTCTGAGGTCCCTAAATAGCCCCAACCACGCCCAACCTCCCCCTCCACCGCCAACCCTTCCCATCTCCTGAGCCCGGTTTGTGGACCCACCACGGACCTGCCAGCCCTCCAGGATTCTACTCGGGGTGGAAAGGGACGAGGATAAGCTCCACCACGGTCCGTAGCTCCCTGCCCGGGGCGTACGTGGCCTTGAGTCCCACCAGCGAGGGTTCGGGGTCTCCGTGGGTCACTGCTTTGGGACCTGGCGACACCTCGCGGACGAAGGGAGATGAAAACTGGCCTCTAAAACTATCCGCCCCTTAGGCAACTCGGGGGCTAGAGCAGGGTGAAGCATGCCGGCGCTACAACCCTTCAGATTCGGGTTCGGGTCCTGGGCCCAGCACACTGGTTAACCAGTTGGGTGGTTGTGATGAGTGTCAGAATGCATGTAAAAAAAAAACGTAGTCTTTAGTTAGATACTGTCTTTCTCCCCTGTCATCCTTGTAATGCAAATGAGACTCATTAACCAACTGTCGCTTTTCTGGAGCCCCTGTGAAGAAAGTAAAGTGCAGGTCGCAGGTACAGGAGAAACCGTGAAGAATGAAAACACTGATGTCACCGTGAGCTGTACTCGGCGCTTGGCAGCTGGGTCGTGGTGCACAAGGACAGATCAAATGGAAGGGGAAGGTGAGTCATGCTGACTAAATTGAGCTAATCGGCAAAACGAATCAAACTACCATTCCTCTCAGAAAGGTGTGGCATAGTTGTATATTTAAAGGGCCACCAAGCTGGAACTCTGAAATCTCAGAATAAATATTGGACACCTACACTGAAGTAGTGTATAATCTATTTGAAGAGCAAATGTAACAGTAGCCACTAATGTGACTCAGAATGCGGTAGCACATAGACTGGTAAATCTGAGAAGTGAGAGAAATGTGTTATTAGAACAATAGGCCAGTGTCTGGAGCGGTGAGACAAGTGCTTTGACCGGAGAGCCTTGGGGGAGTGTGTCAGGGCCCAGGGAGAGGAGCGTTCTAGAAGGCTGTAAGAGGAGGCAGGGCTGCTGCTTGTGGAACAAGATACTACTCAGCCATGAATACAATAGAGTAACAATAGAAAAAAGCAATGTCAGAACACTGTGTTCCATAGTTCTTGGGAGAAAGCTGTATATGTAAAGATGTGAGAGATTACGTGTGGGACTCATGTAAAGGAAAAGGATACACTCCACGCTGAACAATGATCACTCGTATTGAGATTGGTGAAGATATTATGGTATTTGCAAGCTAACGATTTGTTTGCCACAGTTTGGTGGATACTGCAGAAGTCACTAAACTCCTGTGTCAGAGACAAAGGTCTTTATTTAATGACACAGCATTCTGAGCTTCATGTTCCCCTTGGCCTCAAAGTGAACAGGGGCCACATGGGTGCCCGGGTGCGTGCTGCTCACACCATGGGTTTGCATTCGGTGGGGGAACCCCAAGCTTAGAAAACCCAGTTTTTGCCCAAAGGAAGGCACTGTCTTCATTAGCCTGGTTGGAAAACAAATCTGCTTCAAGAGAGATGCAAACATCTTTGCAGAGATAATCAGAAAATTTGCCAGAAGACTTGGAGAAATACGAGATCCTTGGAGAATTGGTTCCCAACACTAGGTAACAGCTTGTGGGGCTTAGAGGAGGTGTCAGCTATTTTTCCTTTAGATGTATTTTAATGTTCTGTCATGTTTTATTTTGATTTTTTTTAATTTTTAAAAATGCAGTGAGAAATAACCCTGGCCTGGTGGCTCAGTAGGTTGGAGCATCATCCCGGACACCAAAAGTCTGCGGGTTTGATTCTTGCTCAGGGCACATGACTGGGCTGTGGGTTCCGTCCCTGGTTGGGGTGCATATGGGAGGCAACCGATCGATGTTTCTCTCTCTCCCCGCCCTTCCCCTCCCTTTCTCTCTCTAAAATCAATAAATATCCTCAGGTGAGAATTGAAATAAATATATATACACATAAAAAAGTAAAGGGCAAATAGAGAAGTTTAGTTTGTTTTAGTAAGAGATAAGGAGCCCTCAGCGTCAGTAACCGAGGGAATGATAAGGACATTTAAGGAACATGAATGCAGTGACCCCGTCTGGACTGGAGTTAGGAAGGCCATCTCAAGACAGCAGAAATGCAGGTCTGAGGGAATTAGAACTGAGGGTGGTTTTATTAATGGAGAAGAGCAACATTTTAAAGGAGAAATCGGCTGGCTCACAATTTTTCCTTCATCTCCACATTTCATCAGGATAAATTGAGGAAGCCTCTTAAGACTGTATGACTTGGCAGTTGGTGATATTGTTAATAACATCCAATGGTGTTTTAATGGGGAGTTGAATTTAAGAAAGAGGAAAAAAATCTCCCATCCAGGTGGTTTAATTGGAGAATTCTACCAAACATTTGAGGAATAAATAAGTCCTATATTATATAATCCTTTCCAGAGAACAAAAATAAGGTTACATACTCCACCCATGTTATGAGGCTAGGAAATCTTACCCTTTCATGTTCTGCTCTTGATTTTCATGAAATGTCCTCCAGTGCTGGTGCCTGTTCATACTTAGGTACGAAACCCCGAGCTGGTTAACCTGGGTAGTGTGAGTTTCTGCACCTTTAGGAGGCTGCTTGTGCTGCTGGTCTTACCCCAGTGGGAAGTCTGGGTGCAGGTCAGAGATAAGCAGGCTACAGGCAGGCAGGCCTTCCCTTAGACTGAGGGGGTAGGGAGCAAGCTCACTGGCTGGGGACCTGCACAATTAACACAAGAGCCACCTTCTCGGAGGTGGCAAGCTTCAATGTGCTCCCTCTTAGTGCTCTCTCTCTCCTGCTCTATTGCAGAAGTCCAGAGTCATCTCCAAGTTTGCCGTGCTTCTCTCTTAGCCTCCATTTTCCTAGTAAAGTTACCCCCACCTCCGACTTATTTTAGAAAGCAGGTATCAATTCATAACTAAAGGACAAGCCCCAGCTACCAGTTAGAAAGGTGAGCTGTTTCCTAGACCCAAATGCATTTCTTAGATGAATGGCCCTCTCTTGTCCTTTGTAGCTGGTGACCTGAGCTAGGACTTTTCATGGGTTCCTCTGGAGATACGCACCTGGCCTTGGGAGCTTGCATAGCAATTTCCTCTGCTTCTCCCGCAATCTGTGATCCCAGTTGCTGATCCTTTTCCAGAAGTTCCTCATATTTTTTGGCCTACTCTTCGTCTTCTGCCACATTAATTTCTGTACTTTTTTTTTAAGTTTTTCAGTCATGTAATAGGTTTTTGGGAGGGAGAGGAAGTAAATATATATGTCACTCTTCCAACATGAACTTGAAACAAGCCATGCTTTTTCCTGTGTGCCATCTTCTCTCCTACTTTCTCATTTTTACATACCCCACTTTTGGGTTCTTAAGGCTTTCTGACTAAAGTGAAACCAGAAGGGGTGGGTTCAGGGAAGTGGAGAGTAGAGGGCAGTGCCCTTGGAGAGGGGACAGTGAGCCAGCGTGTGATACTGAAGAAAGATGTGAGAGTTCAGCCACCTTGTATTATGACAGATGTTGAAGAGATTTGCAAAACTGAATTAACTCCATTCCTCTCACTGACTTATTTTGTTTGAGAAATATAGTTAAATAACCACAAAATATGTCATATAACATGTAATGGGCATGTTCTTATTTTAAAGAATATTTAATTCCTCAGTTTTAATTTTGAACACAGCAAATTTTGACTATCGTGACCCACCTAAGCTCTTAGGCCTTCCCTAGGTTTTTGTCTGTTTGTTTTTTTTAAAGATTTTATTTCTTTATCTTTAGAGGGGAAGGGAAGGAGAGAGGGAGAGAAACATCAATGTATGGTTGCCTTTCATGCATCCTCTGCTGGGAACTGGCCTGCAGGGAACCGGTCCGCAACCCCGGCATGTGCCCTGACTGGGAATCGAACCGCGATTGTCTGGTTCATAGGCCCGCGCTCAATCCACTGTTTTGTTTGTTCTTAAGTTTTGTTTTATTGATTCTACAGAGAGGGGAAGAGAGGGAGAAAATTACTGATGGTTTCCCAGAGACGGAACCTGCAACCCCGGTATGTGCATTGAACTGGTGGCCTTTTGGTTTGCGTGAGGACACCCAACCAACTGAGCCACACTGGCCAGTGCTCCTTGTTAGTTTTTAAGAACATAAGAGGAGTCATTACAAAAATATTAGAATTACTGTGCTATTTCATATACCATACATAAAGTGGTTCTTCTGAAACTAAAGTTCAAAACTATGTAGGAGGATCTGGGAACGGCCCTCGGTAGGAAAAATATTTGGTGTCTTTCTAGAATCATGTCCCCTGCTTATACAAATAGGGAAAATGCCAGTAACCAGAAACTACTTTGTGTGACTCTTTTTGTGCTCTGGTGTGGTGGCTATTGTTGGACCCTGCTACTCTGGGAAGTTTAAAATGTGTCCTCTAACCCTTGATGTGGCTAATTCCAGGAGTGGTTAGAAGAATTAAATGCTTGTTTTTCCACATTAGGAAGTCAATAGATTAATAGAGATTATCTATATATAATCAAGAAATGGCAGTGTTAGCATGTTATTTATAAATAAATATGAAGGTTAATAACAGTAAAAGGAGAGAGTTGAAGTGGTTGTCTCTGGAGAGGAGTGTGGTCTGGTGTTTTTTACACCATAATTCTGAGAGTATATTTAATTTTTACTTTTTTGTTTTAATTCACTTTTACATATGTATGCAACCATGTAACCATCATTTTTTGTCTTCTGTCATCACAGATTAATTTTACTTATTTTTGAACATGTTCTTACAAGATGACATAATATTTTTGAGATTCATGCAAATTGTTCATCTATCAGTAGCTCCTTTTTATTTCTGGTTAGTATTTTGTTGTATGAACATAAATCTATTTTCCTTTTGATAACCTTTTGGATTTGTCTAGTTTGGTCCTACCATGAATGAAGCTGCCCTGGACTTAGCTTTTCATATCTCTTAGGTTAATACCTAGGAGTGAGACTGCCGGGTCATAATGTTGGTATTACCGAACTTCACTAAAAACTGCCATTTTTCCGAACTGCTTGTACCAGTACACTCCCACTGGTGGTGTGTGGTTCCCGTTGCTTCACATCTGCATCAGCACTTGATATTGTTAGTCACTGTGATGTTAGCAGTTACACCTCACTGTGGTCTTGGTTTTCTATTTCCCTAATGAATAATGATGTTGAGTACACTTTCATGTACTTACTGTCCATTCATATGTATTCTTTTGTAAAGTGTGTAATAAATTCTTTATTAATGTTGGTTTGTCTTATGACTGAATTGTGAGTTCTTTACATATTCTGAATACTAGTCGTCAAAAATGTGTATTGCAAGTCTTTTGCAGTTTGTAGCCTTTTTACACGTTCTTAATGGTGTTTTTTGTTGAGCAGATTATTTAAATTTTTATGAAGTCAACTTTTTCAATTTTATGTTATTATTAGTGCCTTTTGAGGAATATTTGTGAAGATCATGATGATATTTTACTTCTGAACTACAACGTTGGGTTTTAAAAATTATTTTTTTAATGTAAAAACAGAAACAGCAGGGTTCTGGTCTGTCGCCAGCTGGGAGTCAGGAGCTGCGAGATGAAGGGTAAAAATGAGTGATTTGAGAGTCTAGAAGCGCTGAAACTTCTCCGTGTTTGTTCTGCTGTGATGATTAGGTGACAGGACCCTCAAAAATAAATCAGAACTAATACCTGGACAGGAATTTCTGAGATAGCGTTGGGGACTGGGTGGAAACCTTCCTGTGGCCATCGGCAGGAATGGAAAGGGGAAATGAAGCTGAAGAGTGGGGGCGCACCTGAGCGCTGAGATGGGTGATGAGGAAAGGTGCTGAAGGAATAAAAATGTGGGACGAAAACAACAAAAGCAAAAGACATTTTTTTCCCAACCTCCACCCCTGAAATCCTACTTAGTCTGAAAAGTTAAGACTAATACAATGGGTATATAAAGAATAAACACTGGTTTCCCGAACTCTGATGTTAAAACCGAGGTCAACTACTGAGGCTTATGTCCTGGATTTAGGGTTAAAAAGGCGAAACTGCAAACGCAGGCTTTGTAAACGAGTGTAACTCCTTGAAACAGGAAGTGGTGGAAGATCCGTGAAGAAGTTACATTCAGGGAATTATTTTTGAATTTTAACAGTATAAAGTGTACTCTTATCAGGTGCATTTTATACTATGAGCGACGATTAACAGGAATTCCTCAAGGGCCAGGTATGTATTTGGAAAGGACACCTGACAACAGGGGCCAGCTTACCAGCCTGAAGGGAGCCCAGGGAACCAGAGCCCCACACCTCCGAGTACGTGCTCGGACCTCTGCTCTGGGGCCGAGGCCAGTTGACGCGCAGGCGCGGGAGGAGCCCGGGGCGCCGACCATAGAGCTTTCAGACCACCAGGGTTCCTAGAGAGCTGCCGGAAGTGCCGTTGGGCAAAATGCGCTTTGACCGGTGCTGTCCCCCGGCTGGTGTGGAAGCTGGGAGCTTGGAGGCCTCTTCTGGTTGCAGCAGCGTTCGACCCCTTTTCTCTCCGCTCTACCCTAGGGCTGTCCGTTGTATGAAGCCTCCCTTCCCTTCCCCGGCCACCCACAGGACGCGCGGTGAGTACCGTTTCACCTGGGCCTGAATGCGCTTTGTGGCCAGAGCGGCCGCTGCCAGGGACGAACCTAAGGGTCGGAGCGGGGCGGGGCCGGGTGGCTCCCGGGCTCTGGGGATCGCGGACCCTGACTGCATCCGCGCCCACGCCCCTCAACTTTCAGGAGGGAACCTTTTGTAAGGGCTTGTTTTCTTCATCGATCTTGGATTAGTGGTGTTATTTGCAGTCGAGCATGTTTGTCGTCTTAAAATAGGAGACGATCCCCCCCATTATCTTTTTACAGGTGTATCCACCTGTAAAAGTGGATAGCTTTTACGCAGCAATTTTGCTTTTCCGTCACAATAAGATTCTCATGTTTTAAAAAGATACATTTTGCTCTGAGAAGCCCCAATTATTCCTGAAAACCTATCTTTGTTGTGAAGTTACTCTGCTCTTTTTGTAGTGCAGTATTCAGAAAATGGTGGCGTTGGCTGGACAGTTGTACAAAATGAAACACTTCTGGTGTCTTTGGGGCAGTATAGAGTTCAGCCTTGTTCAGAATCCCTCCGCTATTAGAAGAGCTCACTGAAGCAGGTGCCATTTGGGTCACTTGTGAGCAACTTGTACGGCAGCAGTGACTGCCGCCCCCGCTAAACAGGACCCAGGTTTTGTCGCTTGGTCAGAGACGCTTGTTTGTGCTGTAGTCACTGTTGTAACAAATGCAGACATACTTTGAATTTCTGTTGTGATTAAGCGTGAAGTGCGTGCGTTGAGTGCCAAAGCATTCAGTGTGTGTCGCCAGAGATAAAACAGAGCACCTCTTCTTGATCTTATAAACCTAGAAAGTGTCTCCTGTTTTTAGTTCCCAAACATCCCAAACTAAATTTAATTCGTCTGAAAGAAGAAAACGTTTCTTCTGCATCTATTGAAAAAGCAATGCAGTTAAAGTCCGAGTTGCACCCTCAGTAGTTCTAAGGATTATAGGGTTTGAGGTCAGAAGAAGCCTTAAAGGTTGACTGTTGTAATGTCCCAAATCAATAAAGTGATCAGGAGTGTCAAAAGGAGGTGCAAGAAGCCGTCTTTATCCACAAGGAGCTTCCCAAGTTATTACTGGTGTGTGTACACAAACAAAGAGGAAGGCACACAGCCGATTAATTTTGTAGTGTATCGTTTCATATTAGCTTATAGATCGGAATTGCCAGAAACTGATTGAGGGGGGAGAGACTAAAAAGAAAGGACAATACTTGTTTGTTGATTTAGTATAAAATGTGAAAAAAAAACAGATAAATGACTTCCATCAAAGCTTTGCTGTTGAGACTTTATTTAATATTATGATATTAACATTTTAATTTAATGTTTTAACATACCAACAATATAAAGTTCTTAAATGGTGCACACTTAATATTGAAATAGTTTGTAGTTGGTATTGATGAGGATTGATTTTAAGGAGGACATGGCTGGTTGTTTAGTAAAGGTGAGCACTGGCTTTAAGAAAATTCAAAAGAAGCCCTGGCTGGGTGGCCGAGATGGTTGGAGCCTCACCTTAAAACTGAAAGGTTGCAGATTTGATTCCCTGGTGCAGGCACGGAAGGCAACTAGTGAATGAGTGAATGCTTCTCTCTCGTATCAATGTTTCTCTCTCTCTGATAGCAATTTAAAAAATATTGTCAGATGAGGATTAAAAAAAAAACCTCAAAAGAATATGTGGTCAAACTGGGACTCTGGAGCATCCCATTCAAAACAGTAAGGGGTCAGTGTGCATGTCCCATGGTGATAGCCTTTCAAGTTTTTAAACTATAGGTGACACTTTTAAGAAAATTTAAGAATTTATTAATTATAATTGATTATTTAAATAAATTATTTTAAAAGCATGAATGTTAATCCTGTCTGTTCAAAACAAACTTGCTTACCCCTTGTCTTCAATCCTCCTCTTGCCCAAATTCACTCTTCCCTGAAATCTCACTATTCCATGAAATACCCCCTCCTTTCTGTGGAGTCATCATCCATGAATTAATCTCTGATGTCAGTCACCAGATTGAAATTTATCTCTTGTTTCTTGGTTCTTGCTATCTGTAGTTTACTCTCCAAACTGTTGTTCCCAGCCTTGTCTCATTTCAAAGATAATTCCCAATTCTCTTCCTTTTCTAAGTGAGGGTTCATGACCTTGTTGGAGTTCTTGGCAGGTGTCAGGTCTGTGAACTCTGCTGAAATTGAATATAAAGTTTTATGCCTGTGGGCTTTTTTCTTGGGAGAGGTTCTCTGTTTTCATTAGATTGTAGAGACTGAACCAACATCCCACCATCCCCAACAAAAGAAACCCTGGAAGGTGGAGACGCTGCTCTGAAGACTCAGATTGTCCTTCTGAGTACCTGTCCGTTCTCTGGCTTATGGACTATAGATCTGTGGTTCTGTGTTGATGTTGGCATCTCTTGCCGACTGCGTTTGGATATTCTGCCTTCAGTTATGTTCTTCAGTCCATTGTGTGCTGTTCTGCTATTATGATCTTTCTGGCAAACAAACATGATATAATATCCACGCTTAAAAAAAGAAAAAGCTCACTGCCACAAACAGGCATTTGCCAAGAACACCATGGCCGTGGGCAGACAGTTCCGGTGCTCCACACAATATGATAAACCCTGAATTTGGACCACATGACGAATACCTGGACAAGAATGAGCACCTTAATCTGCTTGTTGGGCGGGGAGGAAGGTACAAGGTGGGGGCAACAGAGAAGCCTTGTGGATAAAGGTAATAGTCAAGCTGAGACTTTCAAATAAGACTTCAATGGTTTCAGCTGGACCAGGGTTTACCACCCTTGGCACGGACACTTTGTTTTGGGGCTGTGTTTTGCACTGTAGGATGTTTAGTAGCATCTCTGGCCTCCATCCACTAGGTACTAGTAGCACCCCTTCCCCTCACTTGTGACAACAAAAAATGCTTCTAGACATGGCCAAGTGTCTCTTGGTGAAAGGGGTAAAATTGCCCTCAATCAAGAACCACTGCGCTAGAGTAAAGGGCTCTGCAGCAGAATTTTAAAAATAAACAGCCCTGATTTTAAAAAACACACAACAGTTTTGAACAGATATTTCACCAAAGGATATATACAGATGGCAATAAAAGCCCATGAAAGGATGCTGAACATTATTAGTCAGCGGGGAAATGAAAATGAAAACCAGAGTGAGACCCCACTACGTACCTATTAGAATATCCTAATTTTTTAAAAAACCAGTATCAGATGCTGGTCCAGATACAGAGCAGCTATAATTCTCACAGGTTTCTAGAGGAATGCGAAGTGTCGCAGCCACTTTGGAAAATAGTTTGGCACTGTCTTATAAAGTTGTACATCACTTACCATGAAGCTTACCACAGTTGCTGCTGGATATTTACTCAAGTAAACTGACTATGTCACTTCATAGTGGCTTTATTTATAACCATCAGAAACTGGAATCAACTGAGATGTCTTAATGGGAGAACGGATAAACATACTGATAACATTCAGCCACATTGATGATCACAGATGTATTACACTGAGTGAAGATGCCAGACTCCAAAGGCCTCATCCTGTATGATTTTATCTATAAAACATTCTGGAAGGTCATGAGGGTTTGGGACTAGACTTTGGGTTTGCAGGTAGTGATGGAGCATCCAGGTTCCTTGGAGATGCGGGTCGAGTGTTTCGAAGAGGAAAAGATGGCGATAAGGTCCACAGTAGAAGTTAGCTTTGAGGTCGGAGGGAAAACAGGCTCCCAAGCAGGATAAGGAATGTTAGGTAGAGGATAGTCTTTGACAGTACTTTGAGCTGGACTATTTGGAAATTAGTCTCATCTGTTGAGACCGAGGGACAGGTTGAGAGCTAAAGTATGTAGAAGCAGTACAGCTAGTGTAGCAACACTGAAAGAAGTTGAGTCAGCAGCTCTGGGGCAGAACTTTAATGAGACGCAGTGCCCCTAGTTTCCTGACCTTGTTTACCCAAGTCTACATCTCTAAGGAGTGAAAACAGATGGGTTGGTATGAGAAAAGACTATCAAGTTAAGGGGTTGCTTCTGGAAGATGGGAGGGGAAGACTTATGCATGGCCGAGCTGTGAAGTCCATGGCAGAGTAGGGAGCTTGTGAAGATGTCTTCATAAGTCACTATGACCTTTGACTTCCCTTAACACTGTCATTTTCTCTTGTAAAGAAGTCCCCTTAAAGAAGAGCCCTCAGAAGGTTCTCTCTTAAGAAGATAAAGAAGGGAGTGGGAACAAGTCTCCTGAGCTCTTCCAGCCCTACATGGCTACAGAATCAAGAAAGTGTTTAGCCCCATCCCCACCCAGCCGGGCTCCGGAAGAGGACCTTGTAATTGTCAAGGTTGAGGAAGATCATGGTTGGGACCAGGAATCCAGGCGACATGAACACAACCCTCCTGGCCAAGAGCTGTTCCGCCTGCGATTCAGGAAGCTGTGCTACCCTGAGACCCAAGGACCCCGAGAAGCCCTGATCCAGCTGCGGGCACTTTGCCACCAGTGGCTGAGGCCGGATTTGAACAGTAAGGAGCAGATCCTGGAGCTACTGGTGCTGGAACAGTTCCTGAGCATCCTGCCTACAGAGCTGCAGGCCCTAGTGAAGGAGCATCATGTGGAGAGTGGGGAGGAGGTAGTCACCCTGTTGGAGGATCTGGAGAGGCAGATTGACGTACTGGGACGACCAGTAAGTAGCAGGAGGTGTGTGTGCTGGGCCCGGGGTTCCTGGAGGCTAGGTGGAAGGCGGTGGGCGTAAATGCTGGCTAGGAGTTTCTGCTGTCGGAGGAAAACATGGTGTTGCATGGCTTGTGTTGACAGTTCTCTTTTTAAGGTTATAAATCCATATTTTATCCTCCTAACACGCCTGTACTCTGTTATTGCTCTGGTGTGCCAGATGCATAGAGAACTGAAATTACTTTTTCAGGGACACCCAAGCGTTAAAGGTAGATCTGAGACCAGAACTCACGTTTCCTACTTCCTCATCAGAAGGTTTTTTCCACTGAGTAGCCCTGCTCTGTTCCTGTTCATTGCCCTTCTTCCCTGACCTTGGGAGTGTAGGGTGTTATTGTTGGGCCCAGGGAGGGCGCAGCAGATCCTTTCCTTTGGTTTCCATGCTAATAGACATGTTTGTGCACGTTGCTGATGGAAGAAGGCAGCACGTGCTCCGTAAATGTGCTCTTGGTCCTCTCACACCTTCACCTCATTTCTCGGGATTCCTCCTAATGCACCTGCCCATTGTGTCCAGATCCCGGCTCGTGCACACGGACACAGGGTCCCCTGGGAGGAGGCGGTGCACTCGGAACCTGCACCAGAGCCCCCAGACGCTCAGCTCCAGCCTGCGGAAACCCTGCACATGGCTCCCATGCTCCCCGGGCCCCGAGACAGAGGTGAGGAGCTGATTTCACTGAAGAGGAGGAAGAAGGAAGGAACCCCACCTTCTTCCTGGGAACCAGTCTCTCCAGGCCATTCTTGGGTCTGGTGTAAATGTTTGTCTGAGCTTCACATATGGACTCTCAGTCCCAAGGCTAAACTCACAAGTAAATTAAAGAATTGGTGAATTTTGAGTATTCATATATTTCTGTTATCCCAATGTGTTTCCAACAAGGCATTTTTGAGGTGGTCAAGTTTCATCGTGCCACTTTATTTGTGAATATTTCAGGGTGACTCCTCACCCCGTCAGATGTGTCACTGGCACACTACTCATCTTCCCACAGTTCACCTGCAGGTGTTGCCATGGTTCCAGTACTGTTTGTCCAAGGCAGCACCTCAGTTATTCGGCCTTTCTTTGCTTTTCGTGATCTCAACATTTCTGAACTGTGCGGGTCAATTATTTTGTAAAGTGGCTGCAGTTTGGATTTTTGTGGCGTTCCCTCATGTTTAGGTTCAATTGTGTCTGTTTGGCAGGAACACCCAGAAGTGAGGTTGCGTTCTCCTCAGGGTTACAGCAGGTATTTGTCCGTTATTGCTGATGATAAGTTTGATGACTCGGTTAAGGTTATTCTTGCTGGGTTAATTGGCAGTAAAGATACCATTTTTATTTTTATAATTAATAAGTAATTTGTGGGAATTTACTCTTGAGTCTGTGTAAATAGCCTGGCCCTCATCACACTGTTTGTATTAACTGGTGCTTCTTCACCAAATTGGTGATTACTAAGACAGTTACAAAATGACAATTTTCTAACTATATTATTCCTTTTACATTTATTTGTTTATTGTAATGGAGACTGTTCCCTTCTCCCTGTTTTATTTTATTATTTTTAATTTATTAGTATGGACTCAATTCTTCTTTTATTCTATAAATATTCTGTTACTATGTTTATTTTGATGCTTAAACTGTCTCAGATTTGCCAGAGAGTCTGGCTCCTATGTCCTTTTGACATTTCCCATCATTTTTTGAGACCTTCCTTTCTTACAGAAAGCTAGTTATTTTGGTCTCATCTCATACTTTCCCTGCACCTATTATGTTTTTATTTATGTGGGTTATAGTAGTTTGTTATATATAGATGGAATTTTAATGTTTCTAGAGAAAACATATAGTAACATTTTCAACTCCTAATGTAATTCTCATCTGAAGTCCTAAGGCCTGTTGCCGATTCTGGTTTTGTCACTGTCTGGTGTCTGTAGGAGGCAGCTGCTGGCAGTTCTGGTAGACATTTAGGGAGGTAGCGGAGTAGCTACAGACAGATTGCTGAGAGACCAGGACCTGAAGGGATCCTGACGGGCACAGGGTAGACTGCGGCTGCGGTCGGCAGAGGAACTACAGCAGCTCCTGGTTAGTGCGTGGTTGGGAAACCATGCACTTCATATATTTGACTTGCACTGCAGACTGAGTGGAACATCAAAGCGTGGGGGTTTTGCGGACCACCATAGGTGTGGGCACAGTGCCCAGGCCACCAGCATTTCACAGGCACAATCTCTGGTATGCATTCCTGTGGAAATACAGGTAATTGAGGCTGGGTTACTGCTGGCTTTTGCAAGCACAGAGCAAGGCTGGCCTCCATCACGGCTCCTTTCTCCTCCTCAGCTGCATCCACATCTCAGAGTCCCACCCCTTCCCAGGAAGGAAGTCCTGGAGACAAGATGACAGCATCGCTTCTTACAGCAGGGTTCCAGGTGAGTTGTGCTCCTTCTCACGGAAACCCTGTAGCTGTCCTTTGTCCTGTTTGTGCCATTGACCTGCTGTGAATAGACTGCCTGTAGTGGTACTCATCCAGGACTTGCCCAAAATTACTTTGAGTAGAGACAGATTAATCCTTGACTTGGCACATTTTCTTCTTCCCAGCTGTTCAGCTCCTTCATACAGTATATCCCCAGCTCTTAATCCTCTCTTACTCTGGTGGGTCTCTGAGACTGGGTTTGAGGTGTGGAACAATCCCAGTCTTCAGATGGTTTCTCGTTTTGTTTCAGACTTTGGAGAAGATTGAAGACATGGCTGTGTCCCTGATTCGAGAGGAGTGGCTTCTTGATCCATCCCAGAAGGATCTGAGTAGAGATGACAGGCCAGAGAATTACAGAAATGTGTTCACCCTGGGTAAGGAGATCTGTGGTGGTTGTTACTATTATCATTTAAGGATTTTTATTTGTTTGTTTGTGTTTTATGTGTACTTAATTGTAAGCTTTCTGAAAGACATACTTGAGTTTAAATTCAGGATCCACAGAGAAATGTTGAGACTTCTTGAGGTCTAAAGTGAAACTTTCATTCTCCGACCGCAGGTGGACTTACCTGACTCTTTCAGTGCTCCCCTACTTCACGCATTGCTTCCATCCCCAGTTCCCATGAGACGTTTATGTAGATTGCTCTCACTTAGGCCAGTTGTTCTCCTCCCTTTCAGTGACCGTTTGGGGCTTTTTTCCATTTCTGTCCCACTCATTAGATCTTTTCGTCATCCATATTCCTTCCCACTCCCCGCCTTCTACTTCTTCTCAGCTGACCTCTTCCCTGTTTTAGTCCACCTTCCAATAACCTCTTTTTCATGGCACTGCTTCCCCTGGTAGCTGGTGGTACTTGGCTTTGACCTGCACCATGCACCTTCCCCTGTCAGGAAGTCATTTTGGAGACAGATGAAAGCTTTGCATTTCTTGTAGCTGTTCCCTGTGTGTTTTCCTTTTCCCCTATCTTCGATTCCTTTTTCCTAACAAATGGGATAGGAAGTGACATTAGCTTGATGTTTATTACATTTTTATTTCAGGTGGTGAGACCAGGAATGAGAACAGGGAATTAGCTTCGAAACAGGTCATATCTACCGGAGTCCAACTACATGGAGAGAGAACTGCCAAATGCAACGGGGATGCTATGGGGGGTCCTGAGCATGGAGAAGCCCAAGACCTGGGCAGATTGGACAGGCCACGGGGAAACCCCACTCAGGAGAGACGACACAAATGCGATGAATGTGGGAAGAGCTTTGCTCAGAGCTCAGGCCTCGTTCGCCACTGGAGAATCCACACTGGGGAGAAGCCCTATCAGTGCAGCGTGTGTGGGAAAGCCTTCAGTTACAGGTCAGCCCTTCTTTCCCATCAGGACATTCACAACAAAGTGAAACGCTATCACTGTAAGGAGTGTGGCAAAGCCTTCAGTCAAAACACAGGCCTGATCCTGCATCAGAGAATCCACACCGGGGAGAAGCCGTATCAGTGCAACCAATGCGGGAAGGCTTTCAGTCAGAGTGCGGGCCTTATTCTGCACCAGAGAATCCACAGTGGGGAGAGACCCTATGAATGTAACGAGTGTGGGAAAGCCTTCAGTCATAGCTCACATCTCATTGGACATCAGAGAATCCACACAGGAGAGAAGCCCTATGAGTGTGATGAGTGTGGGAAAACCTTCAGGCGGAGCTCACATCTTATTGGCCACCAGAGAAGCCACACTGGGGAGAAACCCTACAAATGCAATGAATGTGGGAGGGCCTTCAGTCAGAAGTCAGGCCTTATTGAGCATCAGAGAATCCACACTGGAGAGCGGCCCTATAAATGCAGAGAATGTGGGAAAGCCTTCAACGGGAACACTGGCCTCATTCAGCATCTGAGAATCCACACAGGGGAGAAGCCCTATCAGTGTAGTGAGTGTGGGAAAGCCTTTATTCAGAGGTCTAGTCTCATTCGACACCAGAGAATCCACAGTGGAGAAAAACCTGAATCCACAGGAGTTTAGGGGAAATCTTGAGTCATAGTTTGGGCATTATTCAGCTTTAACCACATGCAGGTGACAGTTCTTCCAGTGCAGTAAAAAGGCAGAAAGTGTATCATCACTGCGACCTGATACAGGGTCACTATCGATAGTGGTGGCAGTTAGAATAGCTCTTGAGTAACCTCGATGCAGGTTGATTAGCTTGACTGTCCTGGGAGGTGTCTGATGGCCCAGTGTACCCTTTAGATGCTTAAACAGCATCACAGCAAGTTGCCTGTGGCGGGAGGCACCTAACTTTGCCTTCTGGGTGAGTAGCTGTAGATTTGAGCAAGACTTCTCCTGGCTCCTCTGCTTCTCCCACCCCCACCCCAGGACCCCTCCCGTTATTTTCCTGGAGGGACACATGTACTCCTTGTCTACCTAGGAGGCTGCTTTAGAGTTCAAAGCAGCCTCTGTGTGACTTAGATTTGTATTTAGCTTTCTAAAATCCTAGTTCTAGGGAAATTTTTTACAGACACCATGTATTAATCCTTAAGTGTGCATTTTATTCTGATGTTCCTGGTAGTCTGTGGAAACTCATATTCCCACGCAAACTCAGAACAGCACTCCAACATTTTTCTTGCATCACCTGCACTGACTCCAGGGAGTCATCCCACAGCCCATAGGTCCCTGCCCGGCCCCAGGCCCCATGAGGGTTGTGGGACTCTGCAGAGAAAGGTGAGTGCAGACAGCCCGGCTGCTCTTGAGTGTGGGTGATTGTCCCTTGTGGTGACATCTGGCTCTTTGCGCCTCCACACTGCACGCTCTGGTATAGGTGTATGTTTTACACCATCCTAGTTAGGGTGTCACGTGGGAGGAGACAGGCTTGAGGAAGACATGACAGTCTTGACCCAGAATGTGCACTCGCCGTTCTGGTCCGTGCCAGCACACTCCCAGGTTTCTGACTAGATGGTCGGTCCTCTTGTCATCACTCTGCACCCCCTTCTCAGCTGGCCAGCACCTCTCTCTCTCCATGTGCTTCTTGCCATGAGCTTGTAGGTCACAATAGTGACCTCTCACATCCCACCTGCAGTCCAGCAAAGACAACACTTGTTGCCACTGGAACTGCCTGTCATCTCAGAAGCTGGTTTAACGTAGCATCAGGGCTCACGTGTCCACATAGGCTTGGTCCTTTCAGTTGGGCAGTTGTAGTTACTCCAGTGGTGCTATTGTTGCAGTGACCACTGCTGCAGATAACCCATTCGATAAACCACACAGGAATACTCTGTTTTAGAATCACATGTCATTTTTGACTATTCGATTACTCACTTACCAGGTTTGGAATTGAGTAACTTTTGGTGAATTCCAAAGTCATCTTTCATAATGGGAATCAATTCCATTAATCCTACTCAGAAAAAGGATATGAGTCCTGCTGAAAACTCCAAGAAAAGTTACGTAACTTCGCACTGTGACCATTCTGAACAGGGGAATACTTACTATTTTATGACTGATATTTTAAAAAATCAGTCATAAAAATCTTACATCATTGAGATCCCCCTTTGATTTCATAAATTCATTGTAATACCCTCTCTCCTGCCCTTTGGCTTATCTTCACTTTGAACACCAAGTTTACCTGCACCTATTTCACAGAGTTACTGGTCCCCACTGCCATTTGTCATCCCAGTTCTCTTGGTGAACTTTTCAAGACAGTGCTTCCAGTTGTCTTATTGTTTTATTTTTTATGCCAGTACAAAGAGATTCATTTTGGTGTATGTTCTTTTCTTGTTCTCTCTCACTCTTCCCCCCTCCCCTCCGTCTCTCTGTCTCTCTGTCTCTCTCTCTCTCTCTCTCCTGTGGATTATCATTCCTGGTTCCCTTGTACTTGAAATTTCAAGAAACCAGAAACTAATAAATCTGGTTGTCTCTAGATCCTTGCTCTGTTTCAGTTGTGCCTTACTCTCTGTAAGAGACTAATTCTGCCTGAGGCCAGTGCCGCCTCTGTGCACACATCACCTAGGGTGGATATGGGAGAACGTGCGTAGAATCTGGCAGAAATTCAGAGAGAAAATATGACCAGAGAGATCAGTGTTATACTGGGTGAATGTGAAAAAGGGTGACTCAGCACCTACAGAAAAGGCCTAGTAGCAAAAGACAGATGCACCAAGTTCCTTTATCCTGCAGATTCTGTTTTTATGCTCTTAATCTGAAGTGAGCTGCTCACTGGTACTTCCTCTGCCTCCTGAACGCCTTTTAAATTGACCCTGTGGTTATTTGACATGACACAGTGGTTATTCCAGAACCCCACTGCCACCCGACCTAGTCCTGGGAGATTTCCCCCCTTGAACAAGGTGGCCATGCTGGAATGTGGTGGTTGAGTCCCCTGTGGAGCCATGAGCTTCACTTGCGGTTCTGAGGCTCCAGGTAATATGACTGATGTTTACTGGGCACCAGACCCTACATGAGGCATCTTTCATGCTGTGGTATATACTATGTGTCTCCCATTTCATGGGTGAGAAAACTGAGGCTTAGAGAGTGAAATAGATCGATCAAGACCACACAGCTGGTAAGTGACAGCAGAGATTCTGACCTTCACAGCCTGGTTCTCGAGCCTGCACTCCTGATTACAGTGCTGCTGTGGCTGGTGAACACCCTGTCCCCGGCCAACCATGTCCAATCGTGTGTCTCTGGAACAGAAAGGTGCAGGATAGTACAAGTCCATTAAAATTCCTAGAGGATTGTTTGAAACTGCTATTTTGCTTTACATCATTATTAAATGGTGATACTTTGGGTGCTAGTAGCAAACTAAAACGTGTAAGTGAACATGTTTAAAAGAGTGACTGGGAGGATAAAGCAGTAACTTACAGACTCATACATTTCTCTCTGAACTGCCCCAGGGAAAGTGGAAATACAGAGGGAAATGAAATATCCATGCAGCAGGCCAGACAGATGGACAGTTAGGTGACAACAGGAAGTTTATCCACAGCATGAAATGTGGGAAACCTATTTACTATACATTTCCAACGACCATTCCGTTTTTCTTCTAGCATTTATGATTTTTCAAACATGTCAACCATTGTTCAACCCATTTCCTCAGTAGACTATTCTTAAAACTTCTTAACTGGCTTTATACTCAGCACTCCACTGAAATGTGCTCAGACTCAACAGTGGATAAATACTGTGTCTTGTAGTTCTTGTCCTGACCTATATTTCATCAGGAATTCTGATCTTTGGCTTGTGGGGACCCTTGTTGGTCATTTTCCTCTAATTTCTAACAGTATTGGTTTTTTTTTTTTTCCTCTTGCTCTTCACCAAGCATATTCACTACTTTTTCTGTCCTCACCCTTATTTATCCATTTTGATTGTCAGTAACAATATTTACCACCATCTCTCTGCACACCTTGGTATTTGAAAACAGAACTCATCATTCTTGTACGCTAAATACCATTTTCCTTTTAAATAGGTATCATTGCTTAATTTCTTTGCCCTAAACAGACTTACTACCCTTTATGTTTCTTATTCCAATCTTGGAGTTTTCTTGTTCTGGTCTCCACTCTTCATGTCCAAAATCTTGGTAAGTTTTCCAATTCTTAGTTTTCTCCTTGAGGCCGAACATTTACATTTCTGCCATTCCCTCATAGCGCTCTGTTCAGATCCATATTTGGGGCCCAGGTTATTGTAATTCTTTCTAGTGCCCTTGCTCTCAAGAGTCTCATCTTGTAGACATTTGAGATGATCTTCTCGAACTCTATTTGTGTGATGTCTCACTGTCACTCAAGAACACCCAGCACATAATTCCTATCAGAGCAGTGATGTTCCAAGTGCTCCATTACCTTCCCTCCAAGCTCAGTCTGCTGCAGCCCCTTCTCTAGTATATTCTCCTGCATCATCACAGGATACTTCCTGTGGCCTTCACTGCTATCTTACAAGCCCTTGACCTTGCCTCTGTGCCTTTCTCATATTGTTTGTTTTGCATAGATTGCTCTTTGGCTCCTGTTCATGTCCATCACCGCCTTCAAAGTCTGGTTTCCTTTCTGAGCAAGCCCACCCTGACTGACTGCACCCATGCTGAGACCCTCTTTCTGTGCTGCCTCAGCGCTGATCCTTCAAGTTTGTGCTGTGGTCCATGCATTTACTAATACATAGCTTTGTAATTATTTTCTAGCACTCTGTTGTAGTTTCACATTTGTATTTATTTGTAAAATTAAATTTTAAGCTCCTTGAGGGCAGGAATAATTTTACATTTGTATCTCTGCACCCCTAGTGCCTAGTATGGTGCTGAGCACACAGTAGGCGTTTAATAAATGCTTGTCAAATTATTGTGTGGATTACTTTTGGTGTTACCTACAGAATTTTTATACTGCCTTCAAGGATGTGTATCTCTTACCAGTTTGTGTGCAGACCTATTTCCACAGTACAGTAATTGTATATACCTAAGACTAAGGTCCCAAATTCCATTTTTAGGAGGGTATGTGTGGAAAGTTGAAATATGAACTCTCCATTTGCTTGGCCAGACTTACTTGTTTCAAGAGAAACTAGTAAACACCAAAGATTACTGTTGTTGCGGAAGTGTTTGAGAATAGGTTTTTGTATCAGTTCAGTGGTTCTCAGCTGGAGGAACTCGGCATCATCCGGAAACATTGCTTGGTGGCTGGGACGATGCCAGCATCTGGTGGGTAGAGGCTAGAGACGCTGATAAACATCTTGCCTACACAGGACACAACAAAAAATACCCCAATTGAGAAACACTGGTCTAGATATATTTAAGGCCTATAGAAAAATACTAGCATTGCAATTAGAAAAATTAGCTATGCCAAGCTTTACAAGAATACTAAGTGTGTATTTTATAGTTTGTAAAATTATAAAAGAAAAAGGACTTAATTTTTGGCATTCACTGCAACATACATGCCAGGGTGATGGGAAGCTTTAAATTGTTGGCTTTCTCGGTTGCTTTCAGCATTAGACCTGCTTCCACCCTTACATCAGATGGGAGGTATTGGCAGAGTACAAATCTGATTCTAGCTTCTGCATCTTGGTTCATTACATGGAATGAAAGGCAAAGTCCTGGGATGTATCTCTAGCAGAGGACCAATAACACCAAAGATTCGGTCCTTTGAGGACAACACATGACCCCCAACAGTCTTGGGCAGCCACAGTCTGTAACCAATTCCCCAAGTATTTGCCAAGTAAACACATTCCCACTTATGCATGTTTGAAAAGATTTTGTTTTTAGACGGGGGGGTAGGGGGAGGAAGGGAGAAATAGAAGGAAACATTAATGTGTGGTTGCCTTTCACAAACTGGGACCTGGCCTGCAACCCAGGCATGTGCCCTGACAGGGAATAAAACTGGCGACCTTTGGTTCACTCAATCCACTGAGCCCCGCCAGCCACGGCCCACTTACAACTTTTTAACATACTCATTTAATCCTACTTCGGAAAGCAAATTTGTAGAGGAAAATGTGATTTCCTAAACTAAATAGTTTTAAAAACTGGCCTCCTTTTGTAACTCAATGGGCCTTCAACAGGTTTAAAGAGGATCAACCCTAGATTAGAAAATCAGTGTAAATGTAATACACCAAAGAACCACATTGCTCTGTTGTTGAATTATTCATATAGTCTATAGAATAAGTTGGAGATCGTTTTCCAACCTATTGTTCTGTAAATGGAAGCCCAAAGAGGTCGTGCGCCTTGGTCGGGGTCACCCATTAGGCTGACGATAATGAAATCCAGGGTCCCAGAGGCTTTGCCCACTGAGAGGGAACCTCCGGCGGCCTAGAGCGGACTGCCAGGTGCCCAGGGCGGGATGCCCGGAAGTCGCCTCTCCAGGCCACTGCGGACCTCTATGGTTCGTTTCCTCTGGCCTCCGAGAACCAGGTAAGTCCACCTAAGCTCCCTCCTGCTAGGGTTTGAGTGGCTGACCTGCCCAACCCCACCCCCGCCTTTCCCACGCTCTTTCTCCCTTTTCCTCGTAGCCACCCCCGGCCGAGCCCCCTGCGACTCCGGAGACCCAGGGACCCTTCTGGCGGCAGCAGCACGGTCATGCTGTGTTGAGACCTGGGCAGCTGAGGGACCCTTGGAAATTATCTGAAGGTGTTCTTGAGATACTCTAGTTTTGCCTCAGTGAAAAAAGCGTAGCTGAATTCTTTACTAATGAAAGCACCTTTCTTTTGGTATATGGCACTATCTCCCACCTCAACCTTTTTCTTCTGAAAACATCACAGCACATGTCCCTCTTTCTTCTTGATAGTGTTTCTTTGAAATTAAAAATATTAACTCAGCCCTGGCAGGGGGTTGCAGCATCCTCGGGTACACCACAGGGTTGCGCGCCCGTGCTCAGCGGGGCGCACGCCGGAGGCAACTGATTGATGTTTGTCTCTCGCATCCGTATTTCACTCTCTTCCTTCCTCTGCTGCTAAAATCAGTTAACATATCTTCAGGTGAGAATTTTTAAAAGTTAACTCAAAGGTACCTGATAACAGCCCAGCTTTAAGATAATTTATTCAGAAAAAAAATTGTATTCTTTGTAGTTGCCTGAAGTCAATACCAGCAGTTCCGGGCTGTGAGGGGAATATTTTGGGGAAGAGAAGGCACCTTGGAGCAAGGACAACGTGACCAGCTACCCACCACAGGGGTTCGGGGCTGGGACTGGCAGATGTCTCCCTTTTGCTAATAAGGGCTGTACACGTTTCCATGGTAACTATTTCCTGGGCTCGGCAAGAATTCGTGTGCATGTGACCCCTGCACTGCGAACCTTTTCAGACACCTGCTAGAACTGCATGGGTGGAAATGGTTCCACTCCTAAGCCTTGGAGGGTGCAGGGTCCATGGGACAATAGACGGACCCACAACTGATTGTGGGGAACCTTCCCCACCCACCCACCTGGAGCAAGAAATCAGAGGCATAAAAAAATGCACGTTGTATACAGAAATTGGAAAAACACAAGAAACTAACACAAGTGATTATCTGTGGAGGAGGTAAATTGAAGGGGGATTAGGGAAGAAACAAGACATTCATCTATGTCTTTGTAAAGTGTTTTGACTTTTTAATTAAAAGCTTGGACAAATTTTTAAATAAAATGTTTAGTTTCCAGACGCTCTGAACAAAATTGAAAGTATATTTCTACAACTGTCAACCAAAAAAGTTCCCAAGAAAATAGTCATGAAACATTTCTGTAGTAGCAACTCCACTTAAAATGTATGAAATAGCTACTATAATGTACAAAGCTAACCTAGAAATTTTTTTCCATTGAGTTCTTCAGAGCCAGATTCAGCTGTCATAAGTAAAAACAAAAGAGTAAAAAGGGAGTGTAGACCCTGGCTGGTGTAGCTCAGTGGATTGAGCTCGAGCCTGCGAACCACACCATCCCAGTTCAATTCCCAGTCAGGGCACATGCCTGGGTTGCAGGCCAGTTCCCAGCAGGGGACTCATGAGAGGCAACCATACATTGATATTTGTCTCCTTCTATCCTTCCCTTCCACTCTAAAAGATAAGTAAATAAAATCTTTAAAAAAAAAAAGGGAGTGTAGAGATAAGTAGATAAGTTGAGTTTACGTAGTGGGTAAAGTTTTCATTATGAACTATCAAGATGGAACCACACACAATTTGGGATTTCATTACTCTGTCAACACCGTCAGATATAGGACACTTGGTAAAGGTGGTCTTTATTATTAAACAGTTGTCACCCAACATGTAGGAGTTTTGACTAACAGTCATCTGTTCCTCAACAGTGTCAACATTTTCAGGTTATTTATATGGCACGTACATGTCTCAGCAGATCCTCAAACTCTGTGAGCTACACTGTCATGCCTTCTATTTCTTTCCACTAAAATCCCTAAAAACAATCTTAAAAGGCATGAAAAGTACAATCTTAATCCACTTGATATACTGCTTATAGCTTAACTGAGCATCTTGTTTTACTGGATCTAATTTTATCTGAAATATATGTATCTTTTTGCCCTCCTTTTAAATAGACTAGTGTTAAGCTCAGAAATCACTTATTAATAAACATAACTTTGTTTTACACACAAGGGGCATGTCTAAGGCTAGAAGCAAATTAATTATTTTATTTGAAATTACACAATACTGACAGTTTTTTAGATAACATTTTCATCATAAAATGTCAGGGTGCTTACTGAATAAAATTTAAACTCCTTGCTCTGGCAGTGAAGGATTCTACAATGTACCCACCTCTTCAAACTTGCCTTACTTACTAAATTTGAGAAATTCCTTCAGTCTTCAGCTCACATGTCACCTGGCCATGGAATAAACACAGATCAGAGCCAGAAGTGACCTTTCCCTCCTCTGAACTTCCACAGCTCTCCTGCCATTGTTCACCTCTCACATCATTTGTCCCGACACTGCCTCACTTATGTGCCTGTTTAGCACCGTGATCGTACAGAAGGCCTAAGCTGCAGTGTGAGTGTGTGTGCATGTGTGTGCACTATACCCTTTCATTGTCAGGAAGGCTGGTACTCAAAATTTTTCTATAACACTTCCCTTCTGTACAGAGAAGTGTTTTGTGCGCAGAAGGGGCAGAAAGAGTAAAGGGAGACACAGTGGTCCTTTGTTAACCTCAGTAAGTTATACTTGTGTATTCCTTTCTGGTTTGTAAAAGGCTTTCACATATGTCTTCACATGATAGAAGAAACAAACACCAAAGAAAAATGAACAGTGTTTAAGATCAAGGCCACTAGCGAATATTTAGGAAAAATAAGGAGTTAAAAGGAAATGACTACTTGGTGGAGGTAACAAAAAAAGGTTAATTTAAAAGGAAATTTTAAAAGGCTGGGAATGGTTAAATGGAGAAAATCTGTTGGGTTGTGAGAGGCAAAGGTTCATGCTGGACAGCAGGAGGGGACTGAAGGCGAAGGTGGCAGGGAAGACAGAGAGAGCCCTGTGGTTTGCAGAGTCTCTGGTCAGCCTGTGTTCTGGCAGAGCAGGAATCCGGGAAGGCAACCCAACAAGACATGGTCAGGGTTTCTTTCATCAGAAGCTGAATCTGTACTTGGCAGAGCCTGTTGTAGCTGGAAGCAAGTGATAGGCACTCAGGCACCTAGGAGAAGATATCAGTCTTTGAAGAACTCACAAAAGGTGATTTGGGTGAAAACGGGGATATCACAAAATTCTTACTGTGAGTAATAGTCTCGACTTCACACATTGGCACCTGGATCTCGTGGGACTGATTTGGGCAGCCACGGTTCCCAGTGTGCTTCTTTGCTGCCCACAGTCAGGTCCTGCCATTGGCTGTCTCCTGATCCATCTTCCTGTCCTCAACCACAGGACAGTTTTGAAAACATGAATAATACTGGTTATAAATAATTTGGTGTGAATCCTCTGACCTGGAGGAAGCTTAAGTTCAGCTGGCATAAGCTGCAGCACACCGACGGCTCCTCTTTGGGAGGGAGGGATGCGGCTGGTGTCCTGACACTTGGTTATGCCCAAGAAAAGCGAAGGCTGAGGAACACAGTTGAACATCATAGTTTGTATCAAATTCATAGTCATTTTGATCTGACTTGATAAATAGATAGTTATTTACCTGATTTGAACAGTTGCCCCCTAAAGAGCAACAAAATTAATGTGAACTAAAGTAACTGACATTGACTACAAAATGGAGTTCTGTGGATAGAACAGTCTCACAATGTCTTTACGATAAAGAAGCTCTCTAAGACATTCTTAACTGTAAGTGAAGAATATGCTGGTGAAGAAACATGGATTCCTCCTACCCAACTCTGATGGTCCTAAGCACTTGGAAATAAATACACTAGATTGACCTCCAGATCTAGAACCTCAGACAAGTCGACACAAACACAGATGGCCGTAGTTAGCAATTCCTCAGAATTCTAGACACCACACTTCCAGAGACGTGAAGGTCATTTCACATGTAGCACCTACAGGCAAGGCACCATGGGGGGGATAGGACGTCACTGACCCAACCCAGTGCTGAAGGGGTCAACACGGGCAGAATGAGTAGTCAGAGCAGCTGCCCTCAATCAGAACCACTGACCCAGGGAAGGTGGTGGCCAGGGGATGAGCCAGTCCGGAGGCCCCAGAAGTCCAACGGGTGGGGACAAGTGCCTGTCAGGTCCCACGTCTCCCAAACAGCAATCGAGAGCCTCCTTTCGAATGAGGTTTTTGCAAAAAAAACAAACCTGTCACCCTCTAGAAAGTGGAAGACCTGACACCTGCCCGAGGACGTGTGGTAAACAAAGCCCCGGCCCACAGTTTCTGCTCAGAAAGGGCTCCAGGGAGGCTTCGTTCAACAAGGAAGGAGCAGACTTGAGCACCCAGACACCGGTCACCGGGACACAAGTTTCTTTGCAATGTGACTTCTCTGATGTTGAACAAGGTATGAAGTTCGGGTGAAGCCTTTTCCACATGCATCACACTCGTGGGGTTTCTCACCAGTGTGGATTTTCTGGTGCTCAATAAGGCTTCTGTTCCTAGTGAAACTTCTCTCGCACTCACAACATTTATAAGACACGGGAGCCTGGACATCCCCCTCCTGGCTCACCATCTTCCTAGGATGCTCCCAAACCTCTCTCTGCTCAGGATCCTGGGTATTCCCATCGCCGTGGACCCTCTGATGTCTCAGGAGATGGGAATTCCGCCTAAAGGCTTTGCCACACATGCCGCACTGGTACGGCTTCTCCCCGGTGTGGATTCTGTGATGCTCAAGGAGGCTGCAGCTCTGGCTGAAGGTCTTCCCGCAGCCCTGACACTCATAGGGCTTCTCCCCAGTGTGTGTTCTTTGGTGCTTGATAAGGTTTGAGCTGTGACTGAAGACCTTGCCGCATTGCTCACACGCATACGGTTTCTCCCCGGTGTGGACCCTCTGGTGAATGACGAGGGCCGAGCTGCCGATGAAGGACTTGCCGCATTCCTCACACGCGTACGGTTTCTCCCCGGTGTGGATTCTCCGGTGCTTGGTCAGGCCTGAACTCTGGGCAAAGCTCTTTCCACACTCGTGGCAAATGTGCCGCCTGCTCCCACTGCTGTTTTTCTGCTTTCTCAGTGACTTGTCCTCCTGTTCACTGGCCTCTGCATGTGGGGGTGTCTGGGCAATGGCTTCACCCAGGTGGCACCGCATCTGCCCTGGCCCCTGTTCCATCTGCTCCTCAGTTAGGGGCAAGTCTCTGGTCTTTGTCTGTATTTCACCACCTGCAATAACAAAGGGCCGAAGGGCCAGCAGCTGTCAGTCATACCCTGCCACAGAGGAAAGCTCCTGCTAGTCCCGGGGAGGCAACAGCCACAGCAGTCTGGCTCTGATGTGGATGAGGGTGTAGGCAGGAGAATCGGGGTGGAAGCGCAGAGGGAGAACAGGGGTGCTGGGGGGAAGGAGACCTGGGCACGGGGATGGGTCCAGTGGAGAAGGGTGCAAAGTGGGAGTGGAGGGAAGGGGTGAGGCCTGCGCTGGTCCCTAAGTTCTGGGGATGGCCAGGCAGGGCCTGGCATCCCAGACAGGAGAAGAAACGGCTGGGCAGGATCATATGCAAGGCAAGTGAAGGGACTTCAGAGCATTCGGTACAGATCCGAGTGAGGAGCTCAGGAAAGCACAGTCCCGTGTGCTCATCCCAGGCAGAGTGGGCCTCCCCACACACAACCAGCCTCTGCACTGGGGAGTCTGGGTTCAGGCCTCACAGGAACTCAGACAAGCCCAGCCTCCTGTGAGCCCCGGCACCCTCATCTCTCAGCTCCCTGGTCATGGCTGAGTGGCTTGCACCTGTCTGCTCTGGGGCCCGGGGCCTGTTTCCTGAAGGGACCCCTCAGGTCTCCCTTCTCTGGGCTAAGCCACTGGAAAGGAAGCAACTTGGACTGAGTGTCAGCTCCAAGCCAGACCTGTCCTTCCTCTTCACCCCAATTCACTCAACTAGAACACAAGATGGTTAAGGCACTGGTGGTGACAAGGATTAGACTCCGTGATTCTGAACCCAAACTCAATGAGTCCTAGTGGTTTCTAACAGCCCAGTTGATTCTAAGACACCAAGGAAGCCAGGAAACCTCATGAGCCACCAGTGCCCATCCGTCTTACCCAGGGAGGTCAGAGCGCTACAGGCCTCCTGCCTGTCATCTCTGCGCACGTTGGCTTGCAGTGACTCCAGCTCTGCCCACGCCGGGGAGACTGTCAGAGCCACATCTTCCATTTGCAGCAGCCCCTGAAACAACAGGTAACCCCTCCTAGCTCCTCCGCCCAGGATCGTCCCAGACTTGGGCACGTGCAGGAACGCACATTTCTCTTTTACCAAATTAATCCTCTCTCTCATTGCACGTTTGTCAAGGAAACAACCGCTAAAGGAGGAAATATCTCTCATTACGGGAAGTGCTTTCCTTCATTCCTAAACAGTCCAGGATGTGAAAAGGTCCAACAAGGGCCAGCGCAGTGAAAGCAGCAAAGCTGTATCCGGATCTTTTCAGCTACAGGGTTTGGGGGCCCAAAATACACAATATGTGAAATCACCTCACACAGGCCCCTGCATGTGGCGCATCCCTGGGGAAGGCAGGCTTCCCTCCAGGTATTTATAGTTAAGTTAGTTCCCAAGTTACCTTCTCTGGTGCATCTTAGGTTTACCCACATCCACCACTGCCCTCCCACCCTCATCTGCAGAGAAACCGCTCCTTGGTTCTCGCCTGGGGGATAGCGCAGTTCACAAACGGGAGAGCCCAGGAGCTGTTCTTGGTTCAGTGTCACTTTTTTGGCCAGAGGGGAGCGAGGAGCTGCCCAGTGACCGCAATGCACTGCGGGCTCCTGGGCTGGCTGGAGGTTCTGTGCTTCGTTGGAGGTGCTGTTTTAAATTTTATTTGTTATGTGCCTTTTATTATTTTTTAAATGAATTTAAGCTCTGTAATTTCCACCCGGAATGTTAGGATCCGCGCAGCCAGCATCCGGCCAACCTGCCTGGTGGGGCTGACCCGGTGTCTTTTCAACTAGTTTTTAAAAAGGTTTTATCTCTCTCTCTCTCTATTTATTTTTAGACGGGGGAGGGAAACATCAATGTGTGGTTGCTTCTGGAGCACCCCCTACTGGGGACCTGGCCCTGCAATGTGCCCTGATCCAAGGGAAAAAAACTCATTAAAAAGAAAAAGAATGAAGAGCCTGAAGAGACTTGAAATGATTTCACTGTTAGAGAGCTGGGGAGCACTCCCTCTCAAATATTCTAACAGTTAAAGGGGGCGGGGGAGTATTTATATATTTTTACTAGCCTCTAAGAGATATTTAGCATTTCCTTCCCTTATAAATGGAAGCAACAAAGCCAAGTGGCATAAGCACACCCGGGCATTTGCGAGAGAAATTGCCGGTGTTTTCGCGTCACGTTGCAACGCGGCAAATGTTCTCGCCGTCACTCAGGCTCGTAACCCTTTGAAATGACCAGTGATTAGGCCCGTCCCTGGATCTTTCTATTCAATGAATTCATTTAGAGAAGCGCATACATAGCTTTGTCACACTGTGCCCTGCAACTGCATTTCCACGTAATTGAGCTCTTCTGTGATCCTTAATATGTTTAAAGATTTTATTGTGGGAAGGGGCCCGGGGCTTCACCTGACCGCCGAGGAGGCTCCGCGCACAGACTGCGGCTCCAGCGGGAACTCCCCCGTTCCGCGCGCGAGTGTCCGGCTCCCAGTCCCCGCGCCCTCCCTCTACCTGTGGCTCCGGCTCCGCCAGCGGCTCCTGCAGGTCCTCCAGCATCGCCACGGCCTCCTCGCCGCTCTGTGGGCGCCGCTCCCGCACCCGGGCGCGCAGCCCCGCGGGCAGGATGCGCAGGAACTGCTCGAGCACCAGCAGCTCCAGCATCTGCTCTTTGCTGTGAGTCTCGGGCCGCAGCCACAGCCTGCAGAGCTCGCGAAGCCGGCGCAGCGCGCGGCGGGGACCCCCGGCCTCGGGGTAGCGGAAGCCTCGGAAGCGCTGGCGCGAGCGCTCGGAGCCCGGGGCCTCCTCGTCCTCCGCCCTTACGGCCGGGATCCCCGCCCCCGTGTGCTCGGCCGCCCGGGCGTCCAGGGCCGCGCTCTCCCCCGACTCTCTGGCCATCCTGGGCCCAGGCCGCACTCGGGCCTCCCTGTACCGCAGCTGTTTCGGCAGATTCTCCGCAGTGGAGATCGCAGTCCGCCTGTCACAGGGCAGGGACACCCCCGGGCGCAGCTGCACGGATTTCTCCCGCAGCCGCGCCTTTGCGGCGCTGTCCTCTGCGCCACACCCCGAATCCCGAGGATGCGCGCTGCAGAAGGAGCAGCACCGGCTTGCGGGGAGATCGCCTTCCCGGGCTCTCTAGGAAAAGCCTCTCGGTGGCTGTTCCTCGATTAACCCCTTTGCTTCGAGGCCTCACCTCCACTCCGGGAGGAAGGAGGGGGAGATAAAAGAGGGACAAGCTCTGTATCACGAGAAATCCTCTGTAAGGATCCTGCTGGGTCCCCGGTGCTCGGACCTAGCGTGGGTAAAGAGCTGGCACAAACTCAGTACAAATTCAGAAGAAAGCGGCGCTTCCTCGGAGCTCCTGGCGTTCTGGGCCGGAGGACCTTCCTTCCCCCGGGAAAGCGCACTAGGCAGTTGCTGTGAGGGAGTAGTCGCAGCCCCTGGACCTTTCCCCTCCAGCTGCCTTTGTCTGTCCTCCCCTTGGAGGCCAAACTGCTTGAAAGAAAGCACACTCACCTGACTGTAGTCCTCACCTTCCACGTACCCTTAACACACTGTAGGCAGCAAACTGCCAACAAAGCCATTGCCACTACTCCCTCAGAAGTAACGGTAGCTCCCTCCACCCCCACCCCCCAGCCGCGACCAGCTACCACTTTCTATCTCCCGTGCTTCCTCACAGCCTTCCCGTTTTCCGAAACTCTACCCCCGGCTTCAAGGACCTATTTTCCTGCCCCCTTTCTTCCGGTTTTTCCCAGACCTCATTCACAGTGTAGCATTGCGGTTAGATCCAAAGACTCTCAAGCCAAGTTACCTGGGTACATAAACCTGATTTTACCACGTTCTAGCTGGGTGACCTTAGTACATTACTTAACTTCTTTCTGCCTGATTTTCTCCACCTATAGTAAAAGGGAATAGTGATAGTAGATAAAGATGTGAGCAGCAGGTGTGTGTGTGTGTGTGTGTGTGTGTGTGTGCGTGTGTTTTAAGCAAAGTGTTTAGAACAATGGCTGGCCTGTAAGTTAGGCCTACCCTAAAATGGAAGGAAGCCCTGAGATTCCTTTGAACCAGATGGGATGAGATTTTAAGGCACAAGTGACTTCAGTTATTTTGCTGGATGAGATATCAGTTAAGTTGCCTTTCCACCCTATGAAATGCAAGTTTGATAGAAGTTTTAAGTGGAAGAATAGCATGCTGACAAGTTCCTGAGTTTTTTAAATTTTATTTTTCAATTACAGTTGACATTCAATATTATATTGGTTTCAGGTGTACAGCATAGTGGTTAGACAATCACATATAATACTTTGCAAACTGTTCCCCCTGACATTTTTAGTGCCCACCTGGCACCATCGTTATGACCATATTTCCTCTGCTGTATTTTACATCCCCATTACTGATTTGTAACTACCAATCTGTACTGCTTAATCCCTTCACCCTTTTTCTCCCAGTCCCCCAACACCCCTCCCCTCCAGCAAACACCAGTCTGTTCTCTGTGTCTATGAGTCTGTTTCTGTTTGGTTTGTTCATTTGTTTTGTTCTTTAGATTCAACATATAAGCAATATCATATGATACAAAATTTGTCTTTCTCTGACTCACTTTGCTGAGCATTATACACTCTAGGTTGGATATACCCTCCACGTTGTACCAAATGGTAAGATTTTGTTCTTTTTTATTGCCAAATAATATTCCATTGCACATACGTACCACTGCCTCTTTATACAATCATCTACTGATGGGCACTCGGGTTGCTTCCATACTTTGGTTGTTACAATGCTGCTATGATTCCTGAGTTTTTATTCCTCAGTCTATCCCTCTGCAGTTCAAAGAATAACAAGGAAGGGATAGAATTTAAGAAAATGAAAGGTCACAAAGGCTGTCACAGATGAAAACTATTAGAAAATATTTTTCTCTTGATGAGCTGCCACAGGAGGTAGCAGGACACCGCCCTGAAGTATTGTTGACACAATAAGAGAACATAAATCTAGTTCAGTTTCTAGATGCTAATGCTGGTGTATACTTACAGAAGCAAGGTAGCAGTTTCTAATTCTTGCAGCACATAAGAATCACTGGGGAGCTTTTTAAAACATCCTGAACCCCTGGCTGGTTTGTTTCATTGGGTTGGACATTATCCTGCAAACCAAAAGGTTACTGGGTCAATTCTTGGTCAGGGCATACATATGTCTGGGCTGTGGCCCAGGCCCTCAGTTGCAAGAGGCTACTGATCAGCTGTTCTCTTCCTCTGTTTCTCCCTCTCCACTCCTATCTCTAAAAATAAATAATTTAAAAAAAAACATCCTTATACATTGGCTACAACCAAGATCAATTAACTCAGAATGTCAGAAGGTAGGTAGGACTCATGTGTGAATAACTTTAAAATTCCCTGGGTGATTTCAATATGCAGGTGAATTTGAGAATTAATGAGTTAAATGATTCTTAAAAGAAGTAATTGACCAAATCCAAAATGTGAGACATTTTATAGAAGAGCCAGGTTCTTCATCAAATAAATGACATCTTTTTAAAAGGCAGCAGAGAAAGGTGAACTATAATGAATTAAAAGACTGAATAGCTATATCAAACAAATGCAAAAGTAAACCTTGCTTGGACCTAATCAGAACAAAGCAACTATAAAAAAGATGTATTTAAAACAACTGGAAAAAACTAGAACACAATGACATTAACTAGTTACTGCGAATGTGGTTCTCTACGATAATATGGTTAAGACAAAAGTCTTTATTTGTTAGAAATTCATAATGAAGTATTTGAGGGTGAAATGACATAATGTCTGGATTTGCTTTGAAGTACTCTGAAAGAACTAGAGACACAAAAGAAATGGTACAAAAATAATTGCTGAAGTTGGATGAGAGGCATGGTGGGTTCATTGTAATATTCACTTTACGCTTGTTTGTTTGAAATTTTCCATAGGAATTGTTTAATGAAAAATTTGCCTTCCATTCTGAATGGAAGGCTTCAGTATCAAAACCTTCAGATGAAGTTAGAGGAAGTGGGAGCGGAGGCAGCAGCCCAGCCCAGAGTGAGTGTGGAGCCCAAGTGGAACGAGGAGAGTGTGTTCACAGGTGTGGGGAGGGATGCTGCTGCGGCAGGAAAATCGACCCCGAGACATCACCATCATGTGCTCCACAGACCCCACTGAAGTGTCACCAACCTCTGATTTGAGATGTAAGCCCACCTGAGCCCAGCCTTTTATCTGAGGTCTGAGCATGAAGACATACAAGAAGGATCCATGAAATAGGTAAATATACTTAACATATTAGGAACTATGGTAGTGAACAAGTATGTAGGGAAAGTGTTTCCAAAAGTGCAATGTTTCTGAAAAAATTAACTAGAGATGGAGTTGGATGCTTCCCTGTTTCTGGGTAGAAAGTCTGCGAATTTAAGAATAAAATCATGACTCTGGCCCTCACTTAGCTAAGAGGTTGAGTTCAAACTTTGATTCCAAAAGAAGTCCTGGCTCTTGCCCCCAAGAGGAACGAGCGGGGTCGAAAATCGTTAATGAACCGATTTCCGCCGCGAGGCTGTGCGCAGGCTTCTCTCCGCGGACGCCGGTGGCGAAGGGCCGGAAGTGGGTGGGCAGGAGCGAAGGGTAGGTGACCAGAGGGAAGAAGGGCACCATCTAAGAGGGGTGTTTCCACACGGAGGGTTCCACCGGTGCGAATTCATCTTCTTGTGTTCCCGTGGGGCTTGGGTTGGGCGACGTAAACCCCAAACTCAGGAGCGGCTGTGCCCGTGACCCACTCGAGGAAAAAAACCTCCGACAGCCTCGGCCCACACGCGGTAAGGGCTTCGCCAGGAAAGCGGCCGGAAGCGGAAGAGGAACTGCGGCTGGCGCGCCTGCGCGAGCGGGAGTCGTGGCCGCCACGTTCCTGCCGGTAACGGTCGGCGTTGACCAGCTGGTCACCTGTGAAAGCGCGGCCCATGGCACCAGTGTCCCGGTCCCGCTCCCCCGAGGACACCCCGGGCTCCCGGAGACGGCCACGCAGCTCGCCGGGGAGCAGCCGTTCCCGCTCTCAGACCCGTGGCCGCGAGGGCCCTGAGCCTCTGTGGGGTCGGGCCACCGGCGCGCCTTACCTCCGCAGTGGCCCCGGGTCTCGAGAGTTCCCTGGGCTCCACAGCTACGCCTTCTCGGCCCCTTCCTCCGTGTACTGTGGAGGGCACCGGTCCCATTATCGCAACTACACGGGCGACGGGCATTGGGCGGAGCACTACGACGTGAAGGAGAGCTCCCGACAAAGGAGGCTGAAAGAGAGGGAACGGATCGGGGAGCTGGGAGCTCCTGAGGTGTGGGGCCTGTCTCCGAAGTGCCCGGAGCCGGATTCTGATGAACACAGCCCAGTGGAAGGTGCAGAGGTGAAAACGCAGAAGATCAGCAGCAGTTCAGATTCCAGCTCTGAAGAAAAAAGGAAAAAGAAGACCAGTCATTCAAAAAATAAGAAAAGAAAGAAAAAGTCCAAAAGAAAATATAAGAAATATTATGGTAATAGTGACAGTAATTCAGACCCTGACACTCATTGTGGCTCTGATGAGGGGAAAAAGAGAGCCAAAAAAGCCAAGAACAAAGAGAAGAAAAAGAAACACAGAGGTGCAAATAGTAAGAAAAAGAAGAGTAAAAAGACTAGAAAAGAACCGAATGACGCAAGTTACAAAAATTGTGAAGGGGAGGTGCCAGAAGATAACTGTTTTGAGCACTCAGACATTACAGATACCATGGATCTCATCGGTCCTGAAGCACCTGCAATTCACACCTCTCAGGATGAGAAACCTTTGAACTATGGCCATGCTCTACTCCCAGGTGAAGGCGCGGCCATGGCAGAGTATGTGAAAGCTGGAAAGCGTATCCCACGAAGAGGTGAAATTGGGCTGACAAGTGAAGAAATTGCTTCATTTGAATGCTCAGGCTATGTCATGAGCGGCAGCAGGCATCGCAGAATGGAGGCTGTGCGACTGCGCAAAGAGAACCAGATCTACAGTGCAGATGAGAAGAGGGCCCTGGCATCCTTTAACCAAGAAGAGAGGCGGAAGAGAGAGAATAATATTCTGGCCAGTTTCAGAGAGATGGTGTACAGAAAGACAAAAGGGAAAGACGACAAATGAGGACTTTTGTTCCACAGCAAGACTTTGAACAACGATTTTCTATGACCAAAGTAGTTTTTGCAGGCTTTATGGTGCTACTGTACCTATGTTAGTAAGTTGTTGAAGAAAAACCTGTTTAGCAGTTTTTTATTTTCAACTTAAAAAGTAATATGTGACCATGGTTTTAAAGATACTCAATCACTACAGGAGAGTTAGTAAAATGTGAGTCTTTACTGAAGTCCCTGATCCTTCTCCCCAAAGAAATCAATCTCTCTCTCTCTCTCTCTCTCGCTCTCGCTCTCACTCTTGCTCTCTATCTATCTCTATATCTGTTCATGAGTTCTTTGTACATACAACCATTATGTTGCAAAATAAACGGAGCTATTGACCCAACGGGGTTTTATTTCTCTTGTTGCCCTGACTGCTCTCTGTAAAGGCTTCATTTATTTGCCCCAAGGGGAACCAGAAAAACTCCACAAAGAACAAAGGATTCAATTGATTGTATACTTCTAGTTGCATTTAACAGACTGAGTTTTAAAAAGTAGAGTTTTACTAACATACAACTTAAGTGCAGCAGGAGGACAGTTTTCCTGTGTGGCTTTAATAGGGCATTGGCTTCTTTCCTCCTTGTTCTCTATGAATCATTTCCCTCTTCAGGCTGTTTTCTCTCAAATAAAAAAAAGGTCAGCAAAAGCACCTGAGTTAGGTTATATATTTCCTGGTCCACCTCTAAAAAGATAAAATATTTTTTTATCTTGGCATTGCAAACAATCCTGAGATTCATCCTAACTGGATTAGGTTAGGTCACATGCCCATCACAAAAAGATGTTGCTGCCAGGGAAATAGAATAGCTTACTCCTGGAGCTGTTGGTTTTGTCTGTTTCTGGGCTATGTGGGGAAGGAAAGCGTTCCTAAATGAAAATCAGGATAACATTGGGAGAGGGAATAGGCAACCAGTAAGTGCTCACTACAATTGTGAATGATTTCTAAATATATTTTATTGATTATGCTATTATAGTCCCATTTTTTATCTCCTCTGGTTCCCTCCACTCTGCATCCCCCCTCCCACCAGCATTTCCTCCCCTTAGTTCACGTCCATGGATCATACATGTAAGTTCTTTGGCTTCTCCATTTCCTATACTACTCTTTTTAAAATATATATATTTTATTGATCATGCTATTACAATTATCCTGATTTTTTCCTACCCTTTATTCTCCTCTGCCTTGCACCCTCTGTCCCACCAGCATCCCCCCCCCCTTAGTTCATGTTCATGGGTAATAACGAACAAGTTCTTTGGCTTCTCTGCTTCCCATGCTATTCCTAACACCCATGCCTATCTTGTACCTACCATTTATTCTTCTTATTCTCTTTACCTTTTGCCCCATTCTCCCCCTCTGATAACCTTCCATGTGATCTCCATTTCTGTGATTCTGTGGTTTGCTTAGTTACTTTTTGATTTTGTGTTTAGTTTCAGTTGTTGATAGCTGTTACTTTGTTGTCATTTTACTGTTCATAATTTTGATCATCTCCTTTTTCTTAGATAAGTCCCTTTAACATTTCATATAATAAGGGCTTGGTGATGATGAACTCCTTAAACTTGACCTTATCTGGGAAGCACTTTATCTGTCCTCCCATTCTACATGATGGCTTTGCTGGATAGAGCAATCTTGGATATAGGTCCTTGCCTTTCATGACTTTGAATACTTCTTTCCAGCTGCTTCTTGCCTGTAAGGTTTCTTTTGAGAAATCAGCTGATAGTCTTAGGAGAACTCCTTTGTAGGTAACTGTCTCTTCTCTCTTGCTGCTTTTAATTCTCTCCTTATCTTTAATCTTTGGTAACTTAATGATGATGTGCCTTGGTGTGTGCTTCCTTGAGTCCAACTTCTTTGGAACTCTGAGCTTCCTGGACTTCCTGCAGTCTATTTCCTTTGCCAGATAAGGGAAGTTCTCCTTCACTATTTTTTCAAATAAGTTTTCAATTTCTTGTTCTTTCTCTTCTCCTTCAGGCACCCCTATGATTCAGATATTGGAACATTTAAAGTTGCCCCAGAGTTTCCTAAGCCTCTCCTCATTTTCTTGAATTCTTGTTTCTTCATTCTGTTCTGGTTGAATGTTTATTTCTTCCTTCTCTTCTAAACTGTTCATTCAAGTCCCAGTTTCCTTCACATCACTGTCGGTTCCCTGTACATTTTCCTTTATTTCATTTTGCATAGCCTTCATTTCTTCCTCCATTTTGTAACCAAACTCAACCATTTCTGTGAACATCCTGATTACCAGTGTTTTGAACTATGCATCTGATAGGTTGTCTGTCTCTTCATTGCCTAGTTCTGTTTTTGGAGCTTTGGTTTATTCTTTCATTTTGAGCCATATTTCTTTGTCTTGGCAAAGAAATTGCCATTGTAAGGGGCAGAGCCTTAGGTATTTGCCATGGCAGGGCAACCCACCTCAATGCATTTTGGTGCTGTATGTGGGGAGGGGTTCCAGAGGGAACAATGTCGCTTGCTCAGCTCTCGCTGGCTTTCAGTCACTTCTCTGCTACCTACAAGCAAATTGGGCCTTTCTGGTGCTGATTCTCGGGTGGGTAGGTGAGATTGTGTACATTCTAGGACCCTATGGGTCTCTCCAATGAACTTTCCTATGAGGCTGGGAGTTTCTCCTGCTGCTGCAACCACCACAGGTTTTTTTTTCAGTCGGAGGTTTTGAGGTTTTATTCCCCTCGCTGGAACCCTGGGTTGCTTGGTCTTTTTCACTCCCCAGTTGTCTCTCCTGGTTTATCCGCACGCAAATGTGGGGATAAACTCCACCAGCCGCCACCTCACCTGGTCTGCCAGGTCTACGCCAGTCCTCCAGCTGCCACCTTGCCGCAAGTCTTCTCCATCCCAGCTGCCTCTCTCTGCCCCTCCTACCAGCCTGGATGATTGTTTCTTCTTTAACTCCTTGGTTTTCAGACTTTCATTCAGTTTGATTTTCTGGTAGTTCTGGTTATTTTTTATTTTTAAATTTGTTGTTGTCCTTCTTTTGGTTGTGTGAGGAGGCAAAGTATATGTACTTATGCCTCCATCTTGGCCAGCAGTCCTGAATGATTTTTTAAAACATAGAATACAGTACATGTGCTGAATGCCAAAATTTTCTTGCTGATTTGCTATGACTATTAGAAGCCAGATAACATGACTGAAGGGGGCACAGGGTTTGTCCATAAAAATAGATATGAAAGAGGCCCTAACTGGTGTAGCTCAGTGGATTGAGCATGGGCCTGTGAACCAAAGGATTGCAGTTCAATTCCCAGTCAGGGCACATGCCTGGGTTGCAGGCCAGTTCCCAGCAGGGGACGCATGAGAGGCAACCATATATTGGTGTTTCTCTCCCTCTCTCCTTCCCTTCCCCTCTAAAGATAACTAAATAAAATATGAAAGAGATAACATGAAGAATTAGTGTTCAAGTCTTCCAAAGAGTAGATTAGGTGCCACCTAAACTAGGAAAAGAAGGAAAAAAGAGAGATGGTATCACTCTAGCTGGTGTGGCTCAATGGACTGAGCACTGGCCTGAAAACCAAGGTGGCTGGTTTAATTCCCAGTTAGGGAACATGCCTAGGTTGCAGGCCAGGTCACCAGTTGGGGGCATTCAGGAGGCAACTGTGTGAGAGGCAACCAGTGGTGTATCTTGCACATCAAAGTTTCTCTCCCTCTTTCTCCCTCCCTTCCTCTCTCTCTAAAAATAAATAAATAAAATCTCAGAAGGCAGTTGGTAGAGCTCATGAAAAGGGGACCAGATTTTGAGGGACCACATGAATAAGACAAGTTTGAGATGCTGGCTCACACTAGTGCTAGGGAAGACTTTGGAATGAGCTTCACTTATAATCAATGATAAGGTCTTTGTTGTCACCCAGTGACATTGGCCTTAACACTTGATATTTGATTTGAATAATCAATTTTGCAAGGCTCAAGATCCTAGCAAACCCCATAGGGCTGAAGGTGATGGGGGTGGTGTTCTAGAATCTGTCAGGGCAGAACTATGTAGAAAGGCACCTTTACCCCAGTATGTGACTTAATTTACCTGTGACCACACTAGCTTCAGATTTCCCCCAAATATTGTTGGGGAACACTGGTGAAAGCCACCTTGTTACATATGTATATTTCCATTTTTAGAAACAAACTATACCACATTATTCACATGAATATGCACTTTGTTTTTTTCACTGAACAATATGTCTTGGAGATGTTTTATATCAATGCATATAAATCTGCTTTGTTCTTTGTAGTGACTTTATCATAGTCTGTTGTATGGAAGGACCATATTTTATATTGGATGTTTGGTTTTCTATATTTTGCTATTATACAATACTGTATTGAAAATCTGTTTGTGTATAAGTGTAGTATCTGTAGTATATTCATCTAGAAGTAGAATTATTGGGTCAGAAAGAATTCTTTGAGTATCTAATAATGGCCACCTAAAAGTACAATTATGGAATCAAAAGGAAGATATTTCTATGGGCTAAGAACTAGGTCAGGTATTGGAGAGACACCAAGGAACAACTTAGGCTTGATTCCTGCTGTTATAGGATTTTACATATACCTTAAAAAGTGAGCAGACAAGTATAAACTGTAGTATATTATGAAGAAAGTAAGGAGCTAAAGACAGTAATAGGGGACATTTTTTGATAGGGTTATCAGGAAAGTGTAGGAATGTCACAATCCAGCTCTATGTGTTTTTACATTTTAATAGTTCTGCAACATTGCCTTCTAAATAAGATGAACCACTTTATTTGCCTACAAAAATTGTTCTTCTAAAACCTTTTGATACTTGCCAATCTGATAGGTGAAAATGGCATTTCATTTTTAATTTAATTTCTTTAATTAAGAGTAAAGTTGATATATGAACATTTTGTAAATCTTTTTTTGTGTATATGTAAACTACCTTCATTATAACCTTTGTCCATTTTCTTATTGGGTTGTTGATGTCTTCTTACTAGTCCTAAGAACTTTACACATAATAAATACATTAGCCCTTTATAACAGATCATGCATATATCCCCCCTCCTGTTTGACTTTTGAATTGCTTTTTCTAGAAGACACTTGATCATACTGCTCTTTAAGGCCTAAAAATACTCCCTAACACTAGCCATACAATTAAATATATTTGTCTTTCTCACTTGGGAAAAAGCTGCAGCTAAGAAACCACTTAGCTGCAGCTAAGTCAGCCAAGTTAAGGTTGGCAGGTTTCTTTTTCAAAAAGACAGAAGTTCTCATGGCAATATTGCTGTTGTGATGCTTATCTTGCTGTTTAATGTTGCTATTAGGACACTGGCCAGTAAATCTGCCTTAAGAGAGATGTGAAAGTTGGAATTTGTGGATCACTTTGTCTCAAGAGAGCTAATAAGAGGTAGAACTACTTTTTTTTTAAAGTAGTTTCGCCCAGAGTACCTGACTATGGGTTGTGGACTATAAAATAGCACGACAAAAATTTTGTGTTATGTTAGGTTTCAGAAAAACCATCAGAATCACTTTTTACTAAATTCTGCTCAAGGAGGAAATTGAACAGACCAAATCGTTTTTCTTAACCACAAGAGTTACACTGATCTTTAGTAAGTGCTGAGAAAACAGCCCAAGAAAGCAAACTATTGAGGCTATTGCTAATAATTTAAAATTGAAAAATTTTATAAAACATTATTAAAATACTTACTTCGTGACTTTATGAAGTCATCTTTAATAATATTTCACGAAGTATAAAACTCCCCCACTGGTGTAAGGGATCCAATGGGCATTTTCATGGTACTTTTTAAAAAGTTCTGTAACACAGGGAAGGTATTTCTTATAACTCTTAGGGAGTGAGAAATATATTTGGCAATATTGCTATCATTTTATTTTTAACAAATTCAGTTGGATTTTTATAAGAATACTTGTAAGAATTTCACCACCAAGCATGAGGGAGGCTTTTGGTTTCAGATGTAGTTATTTCTTTTCTGCCATATAAAGGGAGTGTCCATATATTTCTATTTTATTAGGAGTTTCCCCCTTGTTAATCAGAAATGCATGTTGAATTTTATCAAATGACTTTTTAGCATTTGTGGAAATAATATGATTTTTATTAGCCTACTAATATGATGATTTAAAGTACAAATTTCTTAATATTAAACTATGGTTTAAGTTTATTAGATTCTTTTAGGGCTTTTGATTATTTAGAATAATCACTGGTCACATCATTTTCTATTTCAAAAATCAGAATAATGTATAAGGTCTTCCTGTATGAACAGAATTGGAGAGAATGGCAGAGAGCACCATTACAGAAAGATAACTAACTCTGCATAACCACAGGGTAGTGTGAGTTGCATTGCAATAGTGCCTCTACTTAAACAGAGAAAAGAAAGCCTATGTTTTGAGTATCACCATTTTGTTTATTAAAAATGAGAATACTTCTAAAATATGAAAACCTCCAGTTTGAAAACTGATTTATATTAGTAGTAATATTATTGTCCTGGCAAAAATGGTCATTTGATCTATTCTCACCTTATCCAACCCTATCCCTTCCAAAAGACACAGAAATTTAAATTAAATTTGCACACTTTGAATTGTTTTTTAAAAACTCCTCTTTAAGTTGTACTGTTTTTATTTTCATGGGATACCCAATGCCATACAAATAAATCACAGCCTTCATAATACGAATGACATTTAAGACATGGCACAGACTTTGAAAGAGAAAGTAAATAAATTAGGATATATTTACTTCCTTTTTAAATTAAAATTTATGTTTATCTCATGTATTTGGGGAGGGGGGAATGTCCTTCTTTAGAAAGAAAGATAATCAGACATTTTTCTCTTCAAGACAGAATATTAACTTGTAACTAGTAAAATATTTGTGTTGACTGGATTTGTTAGTCTAAGGAAAAGTTTTAAAGTAAATATACTTAACTTTTACTTTTAAAATATATTTTCAAGCTTTAGACAGTCAAAATAAAAAAGATAACTCTCCTTATGATGACAAAATATTATTTGTGTTATGGGGGGGCGCCCCCCGCCCCCAGCTGCCATAGATGAGAATAAGTCTACCAAGACATGACCTGCTTAGGGAGGAAAGGTGGCCCATTTCTCAAAGGAGAAGGGCCAGAAGCCTGTTCTTCAATGGGCTTTTATTGGGTTCAATTTGCACAGGAATACAGGTAAAGCTCATCAATCATTGTTAGGCAGTAAGGATCAAACAATAGATAACATGCAAGAACTATCAGGGCTTATTCTGAGTCAGGGTCAGTTAGCTAAAGGGCCATAAAACTTTGGGAAATAAACTCATTTCATGTTTGGATCCTTATCAGAAAATTGAGGGCATTCTTAGCAAAGCAGGTTTCGCAGGATTTTATGCATTCTTTCTTAGGCCTGATCTCTGAGAAACTGCGTGTTCCTGCCCAAGGCTGCACTACCCTCCACCCTCTGTCATTGTTTCAGGCTTAAGTCAGTCAGGGGAAGTAAGGTGACCAAGAGATTAAGAGACTTTTTGCAGACACAATGAGGATTCAGGCTATGTCGAAGCTGAGGGGTGAGGGTCCATCACCCCCTTTTTCTATAGGTCCCCAAGTCCTTTCCTTCACAACCTTGCCTGTCTTAGGTAGTCCCTCCCTTGAGGAATCTTACCTGTCATTGGCTAACCAGTCATCAGTCTGGGGCCCAGCAGGGTGAAGTAAAAGGGGGCAGAGGTGGTGCCTCAGCCAGGAAGATAAGCTTTGTCTCCTTAGTGGCTTATGGTCCCAAGGTCCTTTACTCAGCCTTAGCCATGGGAAACTTTGGCTAAGGCTGAGTAAATAATTCTGAGCCTTAGTAAATGGTTCTGAGGCTGAGTAAATGGTTCTTACAGCTTCTGAAACTAGGCAGGGTGATTCCTAATATACCATTTCAATGCTTGAAATACTGAATAAATTACATCATAAAATGGTTACTATATTTAATGAGGTTTCAAAACTGTCAAATAAAGTTTGTTCATATTTTTAAAGGATTTATTCTGTTCAAAGACTATAAGAAAATACAGTTTGTCATAAGGTACGCAAAAGAGGAAATATTTGTTTTCTTCCTTAGAATTTATTTTGGCAAAATGATTATTTGATGCTTATCCTCCCTCCTCCAAGCTACATTCATTGCAAAGTATTGATCATTCTCTCCCACAGTAATGTAATTACCTTTAACTTTTCAATACAAATTTATGCTCATTGTTCAATATAATCTTCAAAATACTTTGACAGTTATTTTTGCCATTGGGTTTGATGGCTTTTTAAACTGGGGAGAAATGGTAAGCCATGTGTCCGTTTTCTAATAACATGAGTGAGCAAAGCGGAAATGCTGGGCTGTTTGTGATAACAGTAAAGTAGTTGGCTTGATTTTACTTAAATAAAATAAATTTCGGCTTGAAAATGAAAACTCACCTAAGACCGCATCTACGCGCGCGTTCCAACCTCCCAGCCTTCCCGCCTGGTCCGCCTCCACCCCCCACCCTCGCCCCCACCCCCAGCGCCCCCAGCGCCCCCAACGCCCGAAGCTCCTGAAGCCCTCGGCTGACGCAGGACACCACTGAGGTACAGTCCTCCCGCGTTCCTAGAGCGGCATTCCTGGGAGCCGCGGTCCTCTAGCGTTTGGAGAACTCTGACGTCAGTGGAGCTCAGAGGTCTGGTTGAGTGTTCGACCGGTCGGGTCGCTGCTGGACAGCCGGTGATCGTGCTGCAGGCTGGGAGGAACCGCGGCCCAGGGCGCGTGAGCAGCCCGTTCCCTACGGGCACTGAGAAGCCTTCGTGGGCGGCTGCAGCTTTCCGGAAGTTGAGTGCGATTTCACACGTGTAAGGTAAGTCATAGAAGGTAATATTTGAGCAGAAACCTGTAGGAGCTGAGAAGACCTACGTGGCTTTTGGGGGTCGCAGCTTTCTAGGCAGAGGGAACGACCGGTGCTAAGGCTCCAAAGCGGCAGCCTGGCTGACACATTCGAGGAAGAGCAGGGAGACCGGAGTGACCAGGGCGAGGTATGCGGAGGATGGATACAGAGATCGGGAGTGCGGGGAGGCATTGTATTGGTCATTTCTTGGTGTGAAAAGAGAAAATTTTGAGCAGAGGAGAAACACTTGATTTGTCTTTTAAAGCCTCTGTAGCTGGACAAGAGTGAAATCAGGGGAACTGAAAAGTTAGGAGACTATTGCAAGTAATTTAGGTGGGAGAAAAAGGTGTCCTGGACTAGTATTGTGGTAGAAGCGGTTGGAAGTGGTCAGAGGAGTGATCTGCTTTGAAGGTAGAGCCAAACAGGGTTTGCTTTTGGATCAGATGTGGGTCGTGTGGTTATGACAGAAGACAGAGGTAAATTTCAGGTTTTCAGCCTGTGGCTGCAAGAGCTATTGGAAGAAAGATCTGAGGTTCAGCTTTGAGACCTTGAATACGTCATTTAACTCTCCTTAAGTCTTTTTAACTCTCAATGTCTGGGTTTCCTTCTCTCTACAGTGAAGGTAGTAATAGTGTCTTCGTGATAGGGTTGCATTAAAGCATGTAAAGCACATATACAGTTGTGCTGGCTTGTTGTTTTGCTATGCTGAGTGAGACATGAAGAGTGAAGGGTTACTAATGAGAAAAAAATTGGAAGGTTGGAGATGCTCAAGGCAGAGGAATGAGAGCGGAAAGGACCCCAAAACAGGAAAGGGTATTACAAGTTTGAGAGACTGAAAGTTCATTACATCATGAGGAAATTTTAATCCTATTAGATGTTTTGAACTTGTTCCTGAGAGTAATGATGAGCCATTAAATATAATATGCATGGCAAAGACCTAATTGTATTTTCTCTTTAGGAAGATCACTGACTGCAGTGAGGAAGCCATTTGCAGTAGTCAGGTGGGAGAAGAAGAGAAATGGGTGGTTTGGGAGATATTTAGGTAGACTCAGTAGAACTTGATTGACCTGATATATGAGATATGAAAGGGGGCTAGAAAGGTCAGTTTTCAAATCATCTGTTAAACATTATGTTAGATATATGTAATCACATCATAGAAACAAGCCACCACTAATTCACTATTCTACACTGCATAGCTCTGTTACCCAGGTTCTCTAGAGAAGCAGAACCAGTAGCGATATATAAATATAGAAATACACATAGAAGAAGATTTATTATAAGGGATTGGCTCACACAGTGGTGGAGGCTGGCAAGTTCCAAGATCTGCAAAGCGAGTCAGCAAGCTGCAGACTCAGGAGAGCTGATTAAGTTCCTGGCTGAGTCCAGAGGCCTGAGAATCAGGAGATTCGATGATGTAGTTACAGTCAGAAGGCCAGCAGATTCAAGACCCAGGAAGAGCCAGTGTTTCTAGTTGAGTTCAAAGGTAGAGAGAAAGCTGATATCCCAGTTTGAAGCTTGTCCGGCAGGAAGAAATCTCTCTTACTTGGGGGAGAGTCTGCTGTTTTTTGTTTTTTTTTTTCATTCAGACCTTCAACTGATTAGATCGAGGGTACCCACATTAGGGAGGGTAGTCTACTTCAGTCAGTTGACTGATCTAAATATTAATCTCATTCAGAAACACCCAGAAAAATGTCTGGACCCTGTGGCCCAGTCAAGTTGTTAGATAAAAGTAATCATCACAATATCAAACTTTTATTTCTGGCTAATAACCATCACTCATCACTTTCTTGGACTTTTTCACTTTCATTTAGAATAGTAGGATTTTGCTTTTTAAATTTTAAGTCCCTTTTTGACACAGAAAAGTATATACCAGCTGGGAGTGTTCGGGTGTGCACATCCAGGAGTGCGCAACCGCAAGCTGTGTTCGGAGCTTAGCCAGGGACAGCCGCTGACAGAGTGAGCCCCACGCCTGCTGGTTCGAAGGCAAGTGTGAGCTTGCACCGGCACGTGCAAGTCCACGGGCCCTTCCAGTCACTTTAGGAGAACTCCAGATCAAGAATACAAAGACCCCATACGCCAACGGCCTGCTCCAAAGGACAGTGGTGACACGTTGGGTTTGAGAGGCTTCTACAAGGTATCCAGGTGCCAGGTGACTAGAAGGAAATTCGGATGTGGCACTCTTGAGATGTCTGGGCTGGACAACAAGGAAGTCTTTAGATATAGTAATCAAGTTACAAACATGCCTGTCCTCTACATCCCCCCTTCCTAGCTTCTGCGCTATTGTATCCTTCCACAAAATGTCTTATTTTTTGAAAAAGCAATTTTTGTCCATTGTTTTCATGTTCCCATTTTCCTGTGGCAGGCCGACCGCTTGGCCTACCCACAACCTAAATTGTCTTCGCAGAAGTCAGTGACCTCTGTTTTTGTTGCTGTTTGTGTTTTGTTTTTGTAAACTGCTTTATTAACTTCACAATATGTAATGAACATCTTGCCATGCAGTCGGTAAAATCGGTCCAGACACAGTATTTTAGTTAGAAGCTGGTAATGGGAGACTCAGAGGAAACGAGTAACACCAGAAGGTTTACAAGGCACACCGTGAACATGTCAAGTTTAGGGAGCAGGTGTGTCTCCCTGTTAACTTTAGGGAAAACATCAGGATTCAAGGCGTAAGGCGGAACTTGTGATGGTCGTGGCGAGGGGGATCGGTGCTGACTGCCTGTAGACTCTGACTGAACTGCTCCCCTCGTCTTTCCAGCCAGCTGTCTCATCTCCCTCCCTCACCACTTCTCTTGTCTCATCCTTGCCTCTGGCTGCCTAACATGGAACCACCTATGAAGACCTCCAGGCTCACAACATTCACTGGCTTCCAAACAGAGGGACAAGGGCTCTCCTTCATTAGCATCTGGCTCCTTTTTATCCATTTTCCCCCCCTGGTTGGCATCTTCCATGTTGAGATTTTTTACTGCTTGTTCCTCTTTGGACGCAGTTGCTCCTGGCCCCGTCCTTGCTGTCTGCTCCTCCCGATTCTCACCACGAGTGCACCGCCACAACACTTGGACCCGAAGGTCTGCTCCCTTTCGCCTCCTCCTCCTCCTGTTGGGCCACCCCCTCCTACTCAGGGCCACCGCAAGCAGGAACTGAGAAGGATGTGAGTGACTGTCGGGTCTGACTTGTGTTTTGAATTGATTGCATGTGTCAGGTCCCAGACTTGTCCACCTTCCTGTGACATTTCACACTGCCGAGCACTGCGTTTTCATATAATTCCAGTTACAAATCAGTGAATTTGTGTCCTTTACAATTATTATCTCATTCACCTCAAAACATCTCTGTGAACCAGGTGTTACCTCAGTCTTTCAGGTGAGTTATCTAAGTCTCCAAGAGGATAAGGAACTTGTCCCAGGTCACTGCTGACAAGTGACAGGGCTGGATCGGAACATGTACAGAAACGGCTCCTCCCGGCCTTCCGGACGCTGTTCCTTCTCACCTCTCTCCCGAATGGTTGGAGTTTCCTGGGTTCCAGCCACCACTGACTGCTGTGCTGCCCTGAATCTGCCAGGCTTTCTTTCCCCAACAGCTCTGTGCTGATCCTTGGCTCTGACTGACAAACCCTTTCTCTGTCTTCTTGTCTGCTTCGCTTTCACTTGTCTTTTAGAACTCAGAGGGACCTGCGTCCAGGAAGGAGCCGCACCACCACGCCCCGCTGACACCCTGTGCGTCCCTCGGCTGTAGCCCTGTGTGTGCTGCATTGCGACCTCTGGAGAAGCAGAGAGCAGTGGAGGCCGGGAGCTGTGTCCCTCTGTGTTCCCGGCAACTGAGGGTCTAGCGCATAGTAGACAGTCAGCAAAGGAGGTGAGCCGTGAGGACCATGTTCTTGTAGTTAATCCTGATATTGGCTTTAATGAACATGTAAGCAGTTTTGTCTTGTGTCTTTTGTCCCTTAACGTTTGAGACTTTTCCGATCTACAGAACAGTTGAGAGAACGGCGCAGTTGGTACTGCGGCCCGTCGTGCAGCAGCCGTGGTTAACTCCCCGCTGTGTGTGCTCGCTCTGTGTGCACACGAACATTCACTGTCCTTCTGAAACACCTGAAGGTACGTTTCAGCATCATCTGAGAATAAGGATGCATGACCATGAAACATTCATCTCACCTGAGCAAATTCTCACTTGGTATCTCTAAACTTTGTCTGTAAAGGGCCCGTCAGTAAATGTCTTCAGCCTTGCAGGTGAGATGATCTCTGTGGAGGCCACTCAGTCCTGCTAGTGTTGCAAAAACGCAGCTGGAACGAGACCTGAACAAGTGGGTGAGTGGGCGCAGTGTTCCAGTGAAGCCTCAGGCCCAGTGACGGGCTTTGGGCTCCGTTCGGTCTTTGAGCCGTAGTTTGCTTATTTAGGTTTCTGAATTCTTCAAACCATAATGTTTGTATCTTTTTAAAACTCCAGCCAAGTTTACACATTGTGTTTTGCTATGTTGCTTTAATCTAGACCAGGGCTGTCAAAGTGATTTTCACCGAGGGCCACATCAGCCTCACGATTGCCTTGCAAGGGCCGAATGTAGTGTTAGGACTGTATCCATGTAACTACTCCTTAACCAGGGGCAAGGAGCTCAGCACCGCTGCTGGGCGGAAACAAGGTGGAGGTGTTTTCCACCTGTGATCTAGACCCTACCTTCCCCGCACCCTGTTATTTTCGTGAAATTGATTGTTTTGAAGAGCCAGTGCCTGTTATAGATGCACCGCACTCTGGATTCATCTGAAAGTTTACTCATTATTAGAGTCACATAAACATTTTCAGAGATGATGCTATGTAGGTGGGAAGGTACAAAGTCAGTTGTCTCACCATCGGAGCTGCTAGATTCTATCACTTACACCTTAAGTGTATGACATCTCCATTTTTCCTTTTGTCATTAATAAGTGGTGAGCATGGAGGGTCATTGAGGCCGAGAACGTCCCCCGTGTCCTCCCCCGCTTTCACCCAGTGGCTCTGCCCATTTGTGGTCCTTGATTGAATCAATTATTTCACAAAGAGCTACAAGATGAATTTTCAAATGTATTTTTTCTATGTCAGGTGGCAGTCTTGTGTAAAACAGAGTTTTCTCATTTTGTATGTGTTCCTTCTTTAGGCATTAAATTTTTTTTAATTAAAAAATTTATTTTTAGAGAGGGGAAGGGAGGGAGAAAGACAGGGTGATAAACATCAATGTGTGGTTACCTGTCAAGCGCCCCCTGCTGGGGACCTGGCCTGCACCCCAAGCATGTGCCCTGGCTGGGAATCAATCAATAGGCCACCCTTTGGTTCGCAGGCCCGCACTCAATCCACTGAGCCACACCGGCCAAGACTAGGGATTTTTTTTTCCAGAGGGAACAAAATGGATAGTAATTGTTGAAAATGTACCTGCCCAACACAGGGGTATTGCTATTGATCTTGTTATCATTGCTACTGCTATTACTGTTTCTGTGATTCTTGTTATTAAATTTCCAGGAGTGTTCCTGAGGAGATAATCCAAAAGAAAGTTCTCCAAGACAGAGAGAGCAGTCTGAAGCCGGAGATGGCATCAGTATTGGTCAGTGCTCCTTCTCTGGCTCCTCTGAATCTGAAGAAGGATTCAGGAAGGCCAGTAAAGGATGGTCACCACACTGCTAGGGAGCAGGGATTCAGACATCCAGGAAATGGCACTGGCCTTGAACGGGAGCCGCTGTGCAGACAGTTCAGGCAGTTGCGGTACGAAGAGACCGCAGGACCTCGAGAGGCGCTGCGCCGGCTCCACGAGCTCTGCCGGCTGTGGCTGCGGCCCGAGACTCACAGCAAAGAGCAGATGCTGGAGCTGCTGGTGCTGGAGCAGTTCCTGCGCATCCTGCCAGCGGGGCTGCGAGCTCGGGTGCGGGAGCGGCGCCCACAGAGCGGCGAGGAGGCCGTGGTTGTACTGGAGGACCTGCATGCAGAGCTGCAAGAAACTGGACAGCAGGTGGAAGAGGTAAGATGTGTGCTCTTTTTCAGGAAGGCTGGGTTGGAGACCGGCTGGAGAGGTGGAAAGGAGCTGAGTAGTGGCAAGAGAATTGCCGGGTCCTCTTTCAGTTTTCCTGTCAATTGGCTGTTTATTGCTGTAGGTTTCACCTTTTCTCTGCTGGGAAGAAGCATGCTTTTTGTTGCCCCTGTGCCGTTTCTCTTTGCTCTGTTTTCTAATGTTGGAGTGTTCTTCTGAACAGCAGCTCTATTGTATGCACTTGTACCGAACTGTCCCTAGGACCTAGGACAGGCAGAGAAGCAGCACGTGAGTGTGGAAGAGACAGCGGCTCTGAATGCTGCACGGGCCCAGCAGGTCACACCTGAGCAAGCAGATCCGAAGCCTGAAACAGAACGAGGTAAGAAACAGACAGTCTTCCTGGGTGTGAGAAGCCTGCACAGCACCCCTGGCATTTGTTCTTGGTTTCTGTTTGGAGTCAGATTTATTTGTGAGTGTACAATACAGTGAGTTTCACAAGCAGAAAGTAATTACTGTTGTCCAATCACCACCACAATGAAGATGTAGAGGATCTGTCACCCCAGACCTTTCACTTCATTCAGTTAAAGCTGAAGCGTCCTGTGAGAGGGCTGCTTCCTCCCCCAGGCACAGAACTCCGGCCCGTGCCGCAGCGCTCATTTCTCCTCGCTGCCTTCCTGTCGCCGTGAGAGGCTTGTCTTTGGTTTCTAAATGTCACCTGGATCGGTTTTTGTTGTTGTTGTTTTAATATGCTGTGTTTTCTTTGCCTCTGAAATGGAGCTTTCTCATTTCTATCCCTTTCATTCACGTTTCTTCTCTCCAGTCTGATACAAGCCCTGCTTGTCATCTTGGTGCCTCTGTGGAAGCACCGTCTGCCATTTCAACACATTCATTAATGTTGCTCCCTCCTTAAATCCCTTCATTAGGTGCATGATGTTATTCTTTCAATTTTTTTTTAATGTTTGAAAAATTCTATAATGAAGAGTAAAAAACAAGAAAAAACCCACCACTTTCAGTGTCTTCCAATGGCTGTTAATAAAGGCCTGATACACATATTCTGGCATCTGCTAACCTCACAGCCAAGTAATGTTAACCAGCAACCGATGTGCTCCGCTCTGCTGGGCCTCGAGCACTGACTGTTCTGTGTTCTGGGAAAACTCCCGGCCCCAAGCAGATCGGGACAGTGAGTCACCCTCCCTCCCATCCGGCCCAGCTGCACTTTCTCTCTGAGTCTTCCATGTGGAATGGCTGTTCCTCACTCTCCCTAAGCCCCACCCACCATCAGGACCGAGCCAAGACGCCACTTTCTTGGTCATTTCCTAAGTCTTCTAACTCGGGGCGAGGCTGTTCTCCTGCCACAGAATTGATCCCACTTTAGTGTAGTTGCTGGTTAGCATCTCCTTTTTTTCTGCCAGAAAAACCGGCAGTGACTTTATTTTAGTTTCTGAGCTTTTTACAGTTCCTGGCTGAGAGCTGGCAATCAGTACGTGTCTCCTTGTTGAACAGTTGGTATTGATTCTAAAGCCCTTCTTTACCTACTACCTCCTCTTTCAGTTTTGGATGTTGCTGCAAGGTACGCTTCTTCTGGAAAGTTTGAGGCTTAATTTACATTTTTACATTTACACAGCGAAGTCAACATTAAAATCAGTCCACTTTTCTTCATTTTCTGTTAAAGGGCCATCACTTTCTTATTGGCCCAGGGTCCTCAGCGGATCTTTCTTTTCCATTTTCCATGGGACAAGCCATTTTCAAGAATACAGCCATTCCCTTTGAGACAGTCTGCTAGTGTGTGTGTGTGTGTGTGTGTGTGTGTGTGTGTGATACAAAGTAGGCCACTTCCCACCACCACCCGCTTCCTTCCCCAAAGGCGGCCAGTGCTAACAGTTTCTTGTGTATCATTCCACGTGTAATCTATAGAAACACAAACAGCCACAGTATTTCCACTTTGCACACATGGCTGGATTTAAAATTTTTCCTACTAATTACAGATTTCTTTCCCCAAGTACCAAAAGACAAGTCATTGTTGGCATATATTTGATATTTCAGGTGAAGAGACAATGACTGAGAATAAGATGCCAGCTGTAGAGACAGACCCTTGTGGAGGGTCGGAATCGACTGGGAAAGTGTCTGAGCCCGGAGAGCCACACCATGAGGACTCTCACTTGGAAAGGCAGCAGGCCAAGCCCAAGGAGAAGACCGACTGTAACCGGTCAGCAGGTGGGGAGGGAGTCCTCCAGCACTCAGACCTGCTTGGACAGGACGGTATGCACAGCGCAGGACAGCTGTGTGAACCCAGTCCTCCTGGGCGTCAGAAAATCCGCTCTAGAGAGAAAAGCCATCAGTGTCATGAGTGCGGGAAAGCCTTTCAGAGAAGCTCACACCTTGTCAGACATCAGAAAATCCATCTTGGTGAGAAGCCTTATCGGTGCAAGGAATGTGGGAAGGTGTTCAGCCAGAATGCAGGCCTCTTGGAGCATCTCAGAATCCACACTGGAGAGAAACCTTTTCTCTGTATCCACTGTGGGAAGAACTTCAGGCGCAGCTCTCACCTGAACCGGCACCAGAGGATCCACAGTCAGGAGGAGCCCTGTGAGTGCGGGGAGTGCGGCAAGACCTTTAGCCAGGCCCTGCTCCTCACCCACCACCAGCGAACCCACAGCCACTCCAGGGGCCACCAGTGCCACGCCTGCGGGAAGGCCTTCAGCTTGACCTCAGACCTGATTCGACATCACAGGATTCACACTGGAGAAAAACCTTTCACCTGCAACATATGCCAGAAAGCCTTCCGACTGAACTCCCACCTCGCTCAGCACATGCGGATCCACAATGAAGAAAAACCCTATGAGTGCAGTGAGTGCGGAGAAGCCTTCAGGCAGAGGTCAGGTCTTTCTCAGCATCGGAGGTACCACCACAAAGACAGGCCGGCTCACTGAAGTGCCCTCCCCGCATGGGACGTCGGAGACAGAACATGAACAAGCAAGCCGAACTTTAGGAGAGTTCCCTCTAGCCAACCCTGGGGTTGAGCGGGTGGACTTGGAGGCTGTCTGCCCCCACTCTTCCTCCTTTGTTTTCCTTGGAGTCAGCTTTGTTCTACGATAACTGACCAAGATGGCACTGGGGGGTCGGAGTTGAACAGCATCCTTGACGCAGGAGTTCTCAGAGCCCTTGACGTGGTGCAGACCTTGGTGATGCGTCTCCAGGTAGCAGAGAACCTGGTGACTGAGTGAGGGCTTTGAAGCCATCAGCAAGCCAGCTATCCACAGATGTACAGGCCGAAGCAGAACAAGAGCAGGTGGATATTTTTTGCATATGCTACAGCAAGAGACTGCTATAAAACCAAACAGGTGTGTTACAGTGCAGGTTAATGGTGACTGTGCCCCCCGGTGGCTTTACTAACCCCCAACCAGCAGAGGCATTTTGGAAAGCCAAGATGCCCTAATTTTACCATTCCTCACCGCCATCCCTGCCGTGAGATCTCATTGATTCCAGTTAGAAATTAAACTGGAGAAAAGATTCCTCAGTGATTTGAAGGAACTGTGCCGAATTCATGTAGCTGCTGTCGCTCTTCATAACTCCAGTGCAGGGTAGTGACTGCCGCCTAGACAATTGAGTACATGTCTGATGCAATTTTAAAATGCTGCTTGTTCTGGAATTCTTTGAAACTCAAATAATAAAAAGTCACTTGGAGATTATGATCTCTGTGTTGTGAACCTAACGATGTCATCGTCACGATGAAGAGTATTAAGTGTAGGGGACACCACTTCCAGACACGTCACTTGTTGAGTAACAGCAGCGGCCTAGGCTCTGCTGTCTGGAGAAGGCTCCATATTCTGCCATGGACTGGGAAGATCGGTTAGGCATCATGGTTTTCCAAGGGTTTGGTTTTGCATATGGTTGAATGACAAAAAGAGTAGGGTGAGCCCTGGCTGGTGTGGCTCCGTGGACTGGGTGCTGGCCTGCGAAGTAGGGGGCCACTGGTTCGGTCCCTGGTCAGGGCACAGCCTGGGTTGTGGGTGGGGTCCCCAGTGGCGGGCATGTGGGAGGCAACACATTGGTATTTTTCTCTCTCCCTTTCTCCCTTCCTTCCCCTCTAAAAAGGAATAAATAAAATCTTTTTAAAAAGTAGGAGTGACTTAATCAAAGTCTGTTTTTCTCCTAAATAAGAGAGGCTGGAGACGAGCAGTCCAGGACTGGTAAGGTGGTTCTGTGATGTTACTGGGCCCCTGGCCTCTGCTTTCCTGCACCACCACCATGGTGCGTGCTGTGGGTCCTTACGGTCATCACATAACCCTTGGTGGCTGCTCCAGCTCCAGCCAGTCATACAAAACATGGACACAAGGAAGAGGGACGAGAAGAAGCGCCTCCAAAACCTGCCAGCTCCCTGGGAGCAGCCTGCCCACAGACACGGCCTCACCATGTCATAGGCCATAACGTGGGACAGGGAGGCTGGGAAGTGTGTGCACAGCTGAAAAGTGGGCTTCTTGTCACTCACAGTAAGGGGGATGCATGCTGACCCACTCCTGTTCCTTCCCACGCTGGTCGGACTGGTGAGAGCTGCTACAGGCAACCACAGTGGCAGCTGACCGAATCTGTAGGAGAAGCAGCTGTAACAGAAATTGAAAGAATTGCATAGAGTCAGCCACATTGCACTGCTGGGGGAGTCATAAAGCTGCGTGGTTTTCGTCCTGCTTTATGAGTAAGTGAGGTTGATACCAGCTTTCCTCCCCACACACCAGTGCTTGGAGGCCTGTGTGTGGTCAGCACCCAAACATGTAGCTGTGCCTCATAGTTTAAACTTGTTTCTGTTCAGTTGAAGAAAGAACATGGAATATCTTCCTTGTCAGTAAACAGCAAAGACATGGCCCCGTCAGTGTGGCTCAGCTGTTGGGCATCGTCCTGGCTGGGTTGTCGGTTCTGTCCCTGGTTGGGGTGCGTAAGGAAGGCAATTGATGGCTCTTTCCTTCTCTTCCTCCTGTGTCCAAAATGTAAAAAAAAAAAAGGCAAAGCAATGACAAAAGATTCCAAGTGGGAAGAATTGAAAGAATATATCCTTAAATGTCTGGAAAATTGATTTTGGCTTTCTCTCATGATTCTATAGTGCAGGTATTGTAAGTATTCTCAATTCATTGACACCTCAGACACCCCAGTGCCCTGAGGGCAGACCCATAAGCATTGGGCACAAATGTTGGATACAGGCATATGTAAAATAACATGTTTTTCCTATACCCGTAAATCAGAAAAAAACCGAACGAAGGGCAAATGTCATACAAGATCCGTTACAGTTTTGCTTGCGTGTGAGACGCCATGGACCCCCTAAAAGGCGAGTTACAAGTCTATTAAGGCAGAAACCCGGAGAGGACGAACTATTGCAACAATACCTTCTGAGCAGGGTTCTGTGTGGGGGCACAAAATGTGAACGCTGGCTGGGAGTGAGCCGCTCCGCTTCCCAGTCTGTGCAGCTTGAGTTCCTGCGCATGCAAACTCTGTACGTTTAAGTTAAAGAAAACGCGCTGTTTGCTGTATTGTAATCGTTTATCCATTTGTTGTCCCACCCCTCAACCACAGCAGCCTGTGAAGACCCTAAAGACAGGCTCAGTTTCTCTCTTTCCCTTTTTGGTTTCGAATGCAACGGATTACACAACTGAGGGCCCTGCGGAGTCTGGGCGGATGAGGGTCCTCCCGATGCACCAGAGAGACGCGCTGCCCCGTCCTAGAGAGGCCCGGCACCGGTGCGCAGGCTGCCCACTCCAGCCCAGCGCCCCCTGCCCGGCGGGCTCCTCTGCGCTCCCGGAACCTCTCGTAGGCTGGTCCGGTCCGTCTTTGTAGCTCGCGGTCGCCCCGCCTTCCACCCACCGGCCGCCGGAGCCCATCGCTGCGCTGCGGGCCACTGCAGGGAGGGCGCAGTGACCGGCGCTCCCTGCACTGCCCGGGCTCACCGAGTCCTCCAGGGGCCCCAGGGGCCAGGTAGGAGCCTGCCCGTTGAGGGGGGGCGGCGTGGCGGGGCGGCGCTGGGTCTGGGACTGGACCCACGGGGACACCGCCTCCCTGTGTGGCTCAGAGGGCAGACTTTTCTGTCTGTCCGCAGGGTTTGGGGCGGCATTGGCGCCGTGCTTTGGGCAGTGACTGGGCTGCAGGGGTTCCAGCCTTAGAGACGTGTGCGCGGGGTGCGCGGGTGCGAGGCTTGAGCGGCGGGACGGGAGCAGCACCAGCTTTCTCGGAGGTCGGGACTGTGGGTTGTATTCATTCACGGTTAGTGCGGTGCCCCCCAAATACTGACGTGCCCAGTAAATGCCAGTTGAGTGACAAACGTACCAGTAAAACTGAGCAGCAACAGATCCGGCGGGGTTTGGATTTAGTTCGAGGAGTAGAGATTGAAACCAGGTGTTTGGGAGGGGAGCGTGTGGAATGTGGGCCCAGTTGTGCTGAAGGAAATAATGTGAGGCGGGGAGAGTAGCGGAGAGAATGGTCGTAGTGCTGACGTTAAGTGGTGATGAAGGAGGGATGGTGCCGGGACCTGCAGAGGTGCCGGGACAAGGAGCGCGGCGCTGAGCGGCTCTGAGCGGCTCTGGCGCCGGGTGGGGCCGCGGGGTTACAGTGCCGGCGGGCGGCCTGGAGGCGTCCAGTGCAGGGTCTGGGTCTGCAACGGGAAAGGCAGGTTCCCGCGGGTTCCTGGGATGGAGACACATTGTAATTGCGAAGAATGAGATCACGGAAGGAAGAGGAAGAGGGACAAAAAGAACTTGAAGCTTGTCTCCTGTTTCAGTGCTCTATTGCTACATTAAAAAAAAATGAATAAAAAATCTCAGCATTAGTGGGAAAACCTCCGCTGATTGCTTGTTCTGGTTGTGTGGGCTGACTGTGCGGTCCGGCCAGCCTGGCCCAAGTGGCAGCACCAGCCGAGCCCCCCAGGGCTTTGGCGCCTTGTCATGGCCTCACCTGCCGGCTCAAGCCCTGCAGGGCAGTGTAGCCCCCGGCCACCCAGAACCGGAGAATCCCTTCCTCTTAGCGTCCTTCTAACGTGTTCTGCCCTTCACAGCTAACCCCCTCCCTCTGGGCGCAGGTCACCAGTACTCCACAGAAGCCGCCCCTGCAGTGAGGACAGACATGCAAGTGTGGTCCCAGGCGTCCTGGCACGCCTGCCGCTTTCGCCTTACAATCCATGCCTGAAGCTTCCGTCACAGCTAAGTGAACCCGTTCCTAGCCTTCTTTGGTATGTTGTGTGTATTATACACTACGTTCTTAAATAAAATGTTAACAAAATCATAAGGAAGAGAAAATATATTTATGCTCTCTACTGAAAAAAATCTGCATGTAAATTAACATGCACCTTTCAAACCGTGTTGTTCAAGGGTCCGCTGCCCATGACACCTTCCTGGAAATCCTGGCACTGAAGTTCAACATGGATGAAGCTTTGTGGGGCCCTGCTCCTGAAAACAGGGACAGTGCTGTGAAAGTCAAGGTGGAAGATTCCGCGTGGGAGCAGGTGTCCAGCACACAGCAGCACGGCTCCCACCCTCAGGAGATTTGCCGCCTGCGCTTCCAGTGCTTTAGCTACCAGGAGGTGACTGGACCTCTGGAGGCTCTGTCCCGGCTCCGTGAGCTGTGCCGGCTGTGGCTGCGGCCCGAGACGCACAGCAAAGAGCAGATGCTGGAGCTGCTGGTGCTGGAGCAGTTCCTGCGCATCCTGCCTGCGCGCCAGGGTGCTGGAGCGGCGCCCACAGAGCGGCAAGGAGGCCGTAGCAGTGCTGCAGGATGCAGGGCCCGACATGGGAGACACAGCACAGCAGGTGGGAAGACGACACTTCATTTTTATTTTGAAGTTATTCACAGCCTAGATAAGTATTGGGAGAGTAGGACGGAGGACCCCGTCCTCCCTCCCCCACACCGCCCTCCGCCAGCCCCTGCAGGCATCTGTGTTTGTGCGCTCGGCATGGAGATCAGTTGTCGATATTAAGCCCCTTTACCTCTAACACTTCAGTCTGTATTTCTGAAGAACAAGGACTTGTCTCCTTTAAACAGAGGTGATACTATCATCCTAAAGGAAGTCTTTGTTCAGGTCTTGCCACAGTGTCCCAGTCATGTTCTTTATGGCTGTTTCCCCTCAGTTCAGGGTACAGTCCAGCATCCCAGGTTGCATTTAGTCCCCGTGTCCCCTTAGTTCCCTTGCATGTGGGGACATGGCTCGGCCTTTGCTATGACGTTGACAGCTGGGTTTGTCTCGTGCTTCTCATGATAAGTCCGGGTCGTGCGTTTTGGCCGGAATGCCGCAGCAGTGACGCGTGTCCCCAGTGTGCTCCCTCAGGGAGCTGTCTCGTTACCGGTGATGTCAAGGTGGCCTCTGTCAGACTCCTCACTGGGGAACTACTGCTGGCCCCTGTGTAATAAGTGGCCTGTGGGAGACGCTCTCAGAATGCGCCTGTCACATTCCTCAGGAAGCTCCACCCACTGGTTTAGGCATTCCTCTGGGGTTTTGTGTTTTGCTTAGTTTTTTTTTTTTGCAGAAATGTCTTGTCTCTCTCACTTGCCGCAGGTGTGCATCCACCTGTGCTGAAGGAAGGAATGTCTCTGTCTTGCTCCCTGTCTTACCTGCTGCTCTAGCAGATTGAATAGGACTCGTCTTGTGTCCCCTGGAGGGTGTCCCTTACTGCTGTTTGGTCCAGTTCCCACCAGGATGCCTTCTCATGGTGACTCTTTTGTTCCCAGGCCTCCGTCTACACTCAGGGACAGGACACGCAGGACAGTCTGGTGACAGACTGTCGAGGGGCCTCTTTGGAGAGTCACAGCCTCCACCTCCTGCCTGGGGCGACCACTGTGAAGTGTGAGCCTCCAGAGTTTCCCAACGAGAACGTCCAAGCCGTGAGCCTAAGTGCCAGGGGTGAGTTCGAGTCACCAGCAGGCGTGTGGTCCTTTTGGTAAAAACTGGTGTATCTGTATCCTTGAGTGTTGTTTTTGTCTAACTCTGTAATTAAGCAAGCTTTTTAAATCACTTGAAATTGTAAAACATTACAATCATAAGATCTTGTGCAACAGCCTCAGTTAATCATCAGGACAGCCAACAGTTGAACTTTAAATGACTTGCCCAGGATTGGCAGAGGCAGAGCAGCATCTAGAAGTTAAGTCACCTGGATTTCGGCCAGAATTCTCTCTTTACCGCTCGTCTGTACCCTACACTCATGGGCATTTAAATACTTACCTGGTGGCTTTCCACGAATATCTTTCCCCGTGACAACATTTTCTTGAATATCCTCGCAGCCTGATCTGACCTTTCAGTCATTTTAAATGCAGCTTTAGGCTCACACACTTTGTCTTCTTTTCCGCTTGGAGCCCCGCTGTGTGTGGGGCTCTCTCGCTTCCCGAATCCAGGCCCCACCTCCGGGGAACTGGTCCCAGCTCTCCCTTGCTGGTCAGCTCTGGGCAGTGCTCTGTCATGGGACAGGCCATGCGCCCAAATGCCGAGGGATTGGGGAGAATGGGCAGAAGCCCCCAGACAGTTCAAAAAGGAGACGGCAAAGCAAAGGATCACCAGTTCAATTCCTGGTCAGGGCACATGCCTGGGTTGCGAGTTCGGTTCCCAGTTGGGGTGCATAGGATAGGCAACCGATCAATGTTTTTCTCCCTCTTTCTCCTCTCTCTAACATTAAATAAATAAAATTATTTTAAAAAAGAAGAGATCTTACAACTGCATAGTTTAGTAACTTTCATGGTGAGGGTGTTACCACTCCCTGGAATTGGTTAAAAATTATTAACTCTCCTCCCTATAGAAACATGTACACCAGTCACCCCTCAGCTGAGGTTTCAATTATTCACAGTCAGTTGCAGTCCAAAAATATTGAAGGGGGGATTCCAGAAATGATTTATATTTATTTTTCAATTACAGTTTGCTTTCAACAATTCATGGGTTTTACATAGCAGGCTGTTCTGAGTAGTGTGATAAAATCCTGTGCCTTCCTGCTCCTTCCCACTCAGGACACGAGTCCTTTCTTTGTCTGGTGTGGCCGCTGCCCCCTGCTCAGTCACTGAGGAGTCAGCTCAGAGGTGACCGTCCTGGTGTCTCAGTGTGACCCTTATTTTACATGATCAGGGCCCCAAAGTGCAAGAGCAGTGATGCTGGCAATTGAGACGTGCCAGAGAGAAGCGAAAAGGTGAGTATGTGCAGGAAAAACACAGCAGGGACAGGGTTCAGCACCCTGTGGTTTCGGGCACCTCCTGGAGGTTTTGGAATGTGCCCCCTGCGGTTGGTGGGGGCTGCTCCTGTCCAGACTCAACTATGCACGTGAGTTCAGAGGGCTTGTGACCCACCCCGTCCTTGTTCACCAGTCACTACGTCAGCGACGTGATGTCCGTGTTCTGACAGTGCGTGCAGAGCAGCTGGTCCTGTGATAAATGGTAGGAGAGCGTTAAGGGAGGTGGAGTGTACAGGACTCAGACCACAGTGACGTTCGCCCACCGTGGACCAAATAGGACTTGTATTTCCCTACTTTCTTGTCTGATGGTTCTATCACGTTTCTTCCATTAGGGAAAACCACTACCAGGTGAAGCCTTAAATGTTTTGTTTTCGTGCAGAAGTTTAGAGGAGGGAGGGAGCCCTACGGTCCCGCGGGCTGGGGAAGGTTTCAGGGGTGGGCGGAGCCTGTGTGGAGACCGGAAAGGGGGAAGAGTTTGCGGTGGCACAGAGAAAGGGGGGGGGGGCGGCCAGTGCAGGGAGCTGTCCCATCTACCTGTGCAGTGATGAGCACATCTGCTTGCCCTGATTTCGATTCCTTTAGGTGGCAGGTTGGGGTTGGGTGGTGAAGAATGGAGGTGAGTCGGTAGAGTGATGAAAGCTAACAGTAGTTGCAGCCATAAGATTCTTTAACCTCAATGGAGGCTTGAAGAACTGCCTGTGGCGTCTCGGAGAGCTGGAGTCCAGCAAAGCCTGCTGGGCCCTCTAAGCACCACCAGAGACCCGCTGCTGCGGGTATGTGGTTGGGATGGGGATGCTCTCTTGTCCTTCTTTTCAAGGGCTGCTTCCATCCTCTTAACCCCACCCTAATATTGTGGCGACTGCCTGCTAGTTACAACCCCAGCACCTTCCCTGGCTTTCCTGAGCCGGGTGAACTGGAGATCCATTTTCCAGACTGTCTGCTTTCACCCCTCGTGCTGGTGTTTTCCAGCTCGTGGCTATTATCGCTTCTCTCCATGTCTGTGTTTGGCTTTATTTTTGTAGAACAGGTTCAGGTTCAAGCACAGTTGAAAGGAAGGTACAGAGGTTCCCCGTATACCCCCAATCCCACACATGCACAGCTTTCCCCATTAGCCTCTCTGGTTTTTTATATCTTTATTTCCTTTCTTTTCTGCCCTCCGGTTTCCTCTTTGCCTCATCTCTCAATTCTCCACTTCTTTTCTTCCATTTTTGTGTCCGACAGAATGATAGTGCTGCTACGTGTAGCAAACTTCAGAGGCTCTGTGGGACTGGGTCCCCCCAAGGGCATTTGTCTCACTCACTCTCGTCTGCCCTTCACAGGGCCTGCTCCCCAGGGACCAGCTCCTCTCCAGAAAAGGCCCCCAGAGACGCGGCACCAGTACCCGAATTCAAGTCAGCCACACCCCAGGTGAGCCAGGGGACCCTTATGGGAACCTGCACAGCAGTCCCCCTGGGCTCAGGCCCAACCCTCGCCCCCTCTTGACCCCGGCCTGTCACCCCCGCGCCCTCCCCTCGTTTCGGACTGTCACAGGCCGCGGCCTCCTCCGAGGAGCGGGTTGTGATTGCGTGCTGGTGCTCACTCAGCACCGCATGTGGGGTGCACATCCAGTGTCGGGCGTGGGAGTGGAGGGCTGTGAGAAAGTGCCTCCAGGCGTGGGTGCCTAGTGGCTGATGTTTCGGCCTCTGCGGGTCTCTGGTCGCCGTCTGGAGCCTGAGAACTGAACTGCTCACAATGTGCCACAGTACAGTGTTCCGCTCACACCCAGTTGATACCTGGTGACGGAAATGGAACTTCTGTGGATGCAGACACAGCCTCATGTCTTGGGCCTTTTGTTTTCTCTTTAAATTCTCTCAGTGCTTCAATCGATTTCCTAGCCATTTAGTTAAAAAATAATGAAGCCTCCCATTTAAGCCGTCTGCTGCTACATCAGTGTTCTCAGGAGGTGGTCTTCGTGTTGTTTTCTCCACGCTCAGTCCTTTTCTGTGTCTGTAACTGGTTCTTCATCCTGCTGACCTGGAGCCCCCAGTTTCCATCAAATACTTGACCCTCTTATAAAGAAGTTGTAGAAACTAAAACTTATTTGGATGTCTTTGTAACCAACATAATTGTCTTCCGTGTAACATCCTAGAGAAACAAAGAAGTAATTTATTTAAACAGTGCTGTGTGTTTCAAAATGATAATGCACAAGATTATACCAGAACAGAGTAACTAAATGTTTGCTCTGGTCTATAATCAGTGTTTGAATTACAGAGAAATAAGGTAATAAGAAAATGAACCCTGGCTGATGTAGCTCAGTGGATTGAGTGCGGGCCTGCGAACCAAAGGGTCACGGTTCGATTCCCAGTCAGGACACATGCCTGGGTTGCAGGCCAGGTCCCGGCAGGAGGCTCATGAGAGGCAACCATACGTTGATATTTTTCTCCTTCTCTCCTTCCCTTCCCCTCTAAAGATAAATACATAAAATCTCTAAAAAGAAAAGAACATGAAACAACGGAGTTGGGTGGACAATAGAATAGAAACGAATGTTGAGTCGAACCGTGAAAGACCGAACAGAAAGGGAGAAGCAGCGTCACTGGAGGCAGGACGGATGGGCTGGGCTGCCCAGACAGCGGGCCCTCACCCTGGGAGCCTGTGGGTGGGATCTGCAGTGGCCGTAGACTCGGTAGATGTCATGAAGTTAGGCCGAGGTCGTGCGTGATTGGCGGAGCTCCAAATCCGGTGCTTGGTGTCTTCTGAGACAGCCACGGAACATCAGTGGCCGGGGTGGCAGTGGAGCGCCCGTGAGCCGAGGAAACCTGCGGGAGAGCGAGGCCCCGTGGAGGGGCTGACGCTGGAGGTGTGCAGCGTGGAGCGTGACGCCCTTCACAACCGACCTGCTCACACTCAGCACGGCGAAAGCTCAGAGGCCGTTCTTGTCTTTGTAGACATCAGGGAAGACCGAGGACAAAGGGGCCCAGGCCCTTGTCCCCGAGGAGTGGCCACACCTGCATCTGGCTCGGAGGAAGCTCTGTGGGGACTCAGCTCAGGAGGTGACAGACCTCAGTCTGAGGAGTAAGGACAGACTTCCGGCTGGTCCCCTCTGTGCTCACTTTCGCCCGTCCCTTACCCGAACCTGGGCCTGGTGAGCCCACATTTCCTGAGACCCTGACCCTCCCCAGGGGCCTCTGTCGTCCGCCTTCTTTCAGCCCCCATCCTGCTGCACCTCGGGGTCCCATTTTCCTCTGCTGTTGCTGGTCACTGGCTCAGTCACCGGTTCCTGTCTTCTCCGGCCCTCCCTCCGCAACCCCCTCTGCCTCCCCTTCTCTTCCTAATCAAGGGTCCCGGGTGCTCTCTGACTTTCAGGTGCCCTCCATGGAGGGAGGTCCCTGAGCTCCTGCTCACCCTTCTTTGCCTCGGGACGTTCTCATCACTGAGAGCACTACTGTCCCTGTGTCATTTTCTCCAGCTCTGCTTTGCCCGTGAGACCCTCTCCCTGGCTAAGTGACCTTTCTTAGCATCTTCCTCTATGGGACCCATTTTGTGTGGTTGCTCAGTCCATACTTCTGGGACATCTGTCAACTTTCTGTTTGTTTGTTTTCATTTGAAACATTCTGTCCCTTCTCTGAAGGCTGTTTTTCTAAATTCAAACGACACATGGCATTTAATTTATTACTGTATTGTTTAAGCTGAATAAGTTGTAACTAAAGATGAATTGTTTAATGCAAAGCAAGAAGCATCTGAAGAGATGGACCAATGTATACCCTCAGGAATACCCAAAAGGTGAGTGTCCATGGCTCTGTGTATAACAAACCCTGCAAATTGTAAGAAGAAATTTGAAGGGAACCAGAGAAACCAATTGTCAAAATCCTGCTTTCTTGGAATAATACAGGAAACGGTGTTGGCAGGAAAGTCACAGAGTCTGTCGCTGTCACAGGGCTGAGCATCAGGGACCTGCCTCTGGACGTCACAGGCTCAGGTGAGCCAGGCAGAGGGCGGGATCAAGAATCTGGTTTGGAGAATCGAGTGATAAACTGATAAGGAGCAGGGAGATGGTCTTCCTTCCTGTCACAGCAAGCGTTCTGTCAGCCCTAGTTAGTTGTGTGTCGACCCCTGGCCCCAGTAAGGGGTCCAGCAGGTGGGAAACAGCTGCCATGCCCTGGGCTCCGGGAGAACATTCAGGCGAGGCACCCAGCTGAAACTGGGAGGGTCGGAGAAGGTGTCCCAGCAGAGGTGACATTTAAAACGCAACTTGATGAGTGAACAGAAACTTGTAGATGAAGAGCTGATGAAAGGAAAGGAGGCAGAAATAGAAGATGCAAATGCACAGAAAGGGCAGGAAAGAGCTCCGAGGGCGGTGTCTGTGGAAGGTACCATTTTAAAGAGCCAGTTTCTGCTTGAAAAGTTCTGGTCTTTGGTGTAGAATAAGGGGTTCTGTCTGAAGATATGAGGAACTGGGCACAAGACTGGAAAAGAGTGGTGAAGATTTGAAATATGTGCTGTGGGGAACTGGGAAGGAAGGACGAGGGGAAGCGGGAAGGCTTTTGGGGCAGCACTGACTGAATTTGGAGACCGTCATTTTTAGTGGGTGTCTGCCTGGCTGCGCGAGGGCCCGACAGAGCCCGGGGCAACAAGGAGCACGACCTGTCTGCCCACCCCCCTGCTGCAGAAGAGGCTGGCCCAGCCCCTCCCAGATTCACAGCTGAGTGAGCGGGGTGGGGAGGTCTGGCCAAAGTCGTCCTCAGGGAGACGTGAGTGAGAAGTAGGTGAGGCTCACTGAAGAGGCGGCGCCCAGGAGGCTGTGCACTGGCGGAGGACACCGAGTCTCAGAGCGTGCGTTCCTTTTCCTTCCCCAGAGATCATGTGCCCCAGGTCGCGTGTGGCACTCCTGTCACTGACGCAAGGCCAGCTGCACATTTGAACGCTGTGAAGCATCGTCACCCAGGCGACCTGTGGGCCCGAACGCACATCTCATCCCCGGAATACGCTGCAGGAGACATCACCCGGAAAGGGAGGAAAAAAGACAAAGCTCGAGTGAGTGAACTCCAAGGCCTTGCATTTTCTGGTGACTCAGATGTGGAAGAAAGTAACGAGCCAGAGGCCCAGCCGGCTCCCAAAAAGCTAAAGTCGTCCAGTGTGCCAGAGAGGACCGGGGCCCAAAGAGACGGTAAACCCAGCTTTCCGAGCTGGTCGGTGCTGGACTCTGGCCTGTTGAATCTCCAGAGTGAAAAGCTGAGCCCAGCAGAGCTCTTCGAATTATTTTTTGATGATGAGACATTCAACCCGATTGTCAGTGAGACCAGTAAGTATGCCTCTCAGAAAGATGTCAGCTTGGAAGTCACCGTTCAGGAAATGAGGTATGTGTTTGGGGTCCTTCTCTGGAGCGGAATTGTGAGACGACCCACAAGGGGAATGTACTGGAAGATCTCGGATGCTGGTCAGAGCCAGGTCCGAGATAAGAGACAGATTTGAACTGATTTTCGCACACCTGCATTTTGCAGATAATAGCTGCCTAGATCCAAAGGACAAGTTTACAAAATTGAGGCCTCTCATAAAGCAAACGAATAAAAACTTCCTCCTGTATGCGCCACTCCAAGAATCCTATAGTTTCGACAAGACAATGTGTGAGCGCTTTGACAGTGGCCCGTCCCTGAACAGGAGGCCTGTAAGGATTGGCTGTAAAATGTGGTGCGGCACAACCACGCAGGACTATCTGGTTTGGTTTGAGCCCCATCAGGAAGACTGCACGATGACGGCAGATAAGAATCTTGATCTTGGTTTGGGGGGAAACCTGGTGATGCGTTTTGCTGATGCTCTTTTAGAGAGAGGTCAGCACCCCTACCACCTGTGTTTCAATGGCTTCTTCACAAGTGTCAGTTAGTGTCAGCCTTGAAGAAGAAAGGCGTGAGAACAGGATGGAGAAATGCCCCCTTATGAATGCAGCGCGTATGAAAACAACGAAGAAGGGGTATTTCGATTTCCGAGTGGAAGAAAACGACGAGATAATCTTGTGCCATTGGCACGGCGATGGCGTTTCCAGCCTGTGCTCCAGGGCTGTTGGCATGGAGCCGGTCGGTGAGGTCAGCTGCTCCGTGGACGACCAGATCTCTCAGATAAGCCGCCCGTCCGTAGTGAAATTGTATGATGAATGCAGGGAAGGTGCAGCTAACATGGATCAGATCATTTCGCAGTACAGGGTGAGAATAAAAAGCAAGAAATGGTACTCAGTTTCGGTGAGCTCCGTGGTTGATGGAGCCATGAACAACGCCTGGCAGCTACACCAAGCCTGTAACCCAGGCGCCGCCCCGGACCCCTCGGACTTCCGGAGACGAGTTGCACGCGTCTACTTGGGGCCCGGCGCGCTGGTCTGTCGGGGCAAGGCAGATGAAGGAGGCGCTGGGTGGACAGCAGTAAGACAGAAGGATCGCAAGCACACAGCGGTCTGTACTTTCCTAAAGCAAATCTGATGTAGGTGATGTAATTATGTAACTAATATTTGAAACATTGATACCGATTTTCAAAGACTGTTACGACAAGTAATGCACCTTTTAAAATGTTGAACTCCAGTGGTACCTTCTTCTGCGTCTAATTCTGGTGTCAGACGTGTGCGAACATATTTACTTGTTGAATTATCTTGCACGTTGAAGGAATGGAGTCCTGCCCTTTTGCAGTAATCTCCTCTGGAGGGTGTCATTTTTTTACATGCAGGCAATGCCATAGGAAGCACGGAAAGGCACTGAATCCATAGCTGAAAATCGAGACAGAAGCCATGAGATAAGGGTGCTCTAAACCAAGCGGGGCTGTGGCTGCGGCCCGAGACCCACAGCAAAGAGCAGAGGTGGGAGCTGCTGGTGCTGGAGCCGTTCCTGCGCATCCTGCCCGCGGGTCCATATGCCAACCATGGACTTTTATTCTTTTGTAAATGTTTTCATGATATTCATTTGCTACTCTTTGAGGAGATAATATCATAATTCAGGTGGTATAAAAATCAGTCATGAAGTGAGAATAAAATACAGATAAATTAGGTAATGCTCAGCATCTTGGTTCTCACCTTCTATTTATTTCTTTTGGGCAACCAGGTGCTCTTGACAGCTGCACCGTCCTGCCCGAAACCCCACCCCCACCTGCAGCCCCCAGACCACATGCAGCCCAGCACAGAATTGTCAATGTACTTAAAACATCATGAGATTTTTTGAGAGTATGTGGTGCTGCGTATTTAACGTGTGGCCCAGAGATGCCAAAACGTTGGACACCCTGGTAGACAGTGCATCGAGACTAACGCTCCAGGTCAGCGGATATTTAACTAATTATTGCTCAGGCTTCAAAACCCATTAGTGTGGGACCATCTTGGCCTTCTTACGTGTTGATTTTCAAAGCGGCGTTTGGTGCTGTCTCCTCCATTAGTCACGATGAGCACTGAGCACTGCAACTGTTCAGGTGACCCCTCGGCTATCACTTTCCTGTAAACATCTTTTGTAGACCATCCTTTTCTTCTTCATGTTAGTCAGAATTTCAGTCTTGTGACTTCAGGTGAGAAAACTTTCTAGTCAGCAGTATGCGAGAAGTATTATATATATTTCAAATGCAGCTACTTCTACAAAACTATGTCTGTAACTACTTCCTACACTAACTTTGTCAGTGTATCACTTATTTATTATAAAAATATGCTTTTGTCATTTCATCTCATATTTCTCACTTGATTTCCGGTACCAGCAGCCACCTCCCTATTTACAATATCATTCTGAGACTCTGGAATTACTGTATAGCAAGGGTTTCCAGTCACTTTTCATAATTAATTTGCATTGTGATGTATTCTTTCCTGTTTAACCCAAAGCTTTTGTATGTATATCCAAATGCCTGTTTTTCTCTCAGCTTCCAAGCCTTGGTACTTAGAGTAAATTATTTGTTTTACACTAATAAACTATATGCTTATTTAAAGTGTTTGAGTGAATTCTTTTTTTTTTAATTTATTTTTTTTGAATTAATTATGCTGTTACAGTTGTTCTATTCCCCCCTTCATTCCCCTCCACCCTGCCCCCCATCCCCACCATTACCCCCCTTTAGTTTATGTCCATGTGTCTCAAGTCCTTTAGGTTCTATATTTCCCATGCTATTCTTGCCCCCCCCATCTATTTTCTATCTACTGTCTATGCTACTTATTTTCTGTACCTTCTCCCCCCATCTCCTCCTCCCACTCCCCTGTTGCTAACCCTCCTTGAGATCTTCATTTCTATGTTTCCACTCCTGATCTAGCTGTTCTTTTAGTTTGCTTTCGTTTTAGGTGTGGTTGTTCATAACTGTGAGTTTGTTGTTCTTTCACTGTTCATGTTTCTTTAACTTCTTTTTCTTAGATAAGTCCCTTTAACATTTCATATAATAAGGGCTTGGTGATGATGAACTCCTTGAATTTGATCTTATCTAAGAAGCACCTTATCTGTCCTTCCATCCTAAATGAAAGTTTTGCTGGATAGAGCAATCTTGGTTGTAGGTCTTTGGATTTCATGACTTGGAATACCTCTGTCCAGCCCCTTCTTGCCTGTAAGGTCTCTTTTGAGAAATCCGCTGACAGTCTGATGGGGACTCCTTTGTAGGTGACTGTCCCCTTAGCTCTTGCTGCTTCTAGGATTCTCTCCTTCATTTTAATTTTGGCTAATGTAATCATGATGTGCCTTGGTGTGTTCCTTCTTGGGTCCAACTTCTTTGGGACTCTCTGAGCTTCCTGGACTTCCTGGAAGTCTATTTCCTTTGCCAGATTGGGGCAATTCTCCTTTATTATTTGTTCAAATAAGTTTTCCACTGGTGGCTGTGCCTTTCCCTCTTCTGGTACCCCTATAATTCGGATGTTGGAGCGTTTAAAGATGTCCTGGAGGTTCCTAAGACTCTCCTCATTTCTTTGAATTCTTGCTTCTTGACTCTTTTCTGTTTGGCCATTATTTGCTTTCTTCTGGTCCACTCCATTGATTTGAGTCCCAGTTTCCTTTTCATTGCTATTGGTGTCCTGTGCAATTCCATTCATTTCAATTAGTTTCCCCTTCATATATTTGTCTAATTTGTGGCTATAATCAACCAGTTCTGTGAGGATCCTGATGACCAGTGTTTTAAACTGTGCATCTGAGAGTTTTGCTATTTCTTCATCGCTTAGATCTATGGGCTCTGGGGCTTTGAGATCTTCTTGAGCCATTTTTGGTCTGTTCTGGCCCTTTAAGTGTGAGAAGCGGCGCCTTGGACTCCCAGGTCGCTGGGTTGTGACATTCTGACGCTGTATGTGGGGGCGTGGTCAGAGCGTGGTCAGAAATGGCGACCCCCTCTGCTGTTTCTCACAGGTGGGTGAGGATCAGCGCCTTAGGTGGTTCACCTGGGCCGGGCCACTCTGGTCACTGGGTTATGACGCTGTATGTGGAGGCGGGGTCAGAGCGGGGAAATGGCGGTGCCCTCCACTGCGGCTTGCTGCGGGACCCGCTGGGCCCCGGTCCAACCGCCCACTCCCTCGCCTGTCTGCCCGCACACAAATGCGCGACCACAGTCAACACGCAGCACTGCTCCCCCACTGTCTCCCCCACGGTCGCTCGCCTGGTCGCTCGCTCGGTCGCTCACTAGGTCCAACCCTGCGCCTGGATTCTGCGGCCTGGATTCCGCGCGTCTGGATTCCGCGCCTGAGTCCGTCTGACGGAGACCTCCTGTGCAACCCCACTTCACCAGCCGCTGGTTTCGCCCCTTACCGGTCAGGCTGAAGAATTTGTTAACAGACTTCCAAAAAGTTCAATTTTCCGTGTTCTGGTTGTGTTTTCTGTTGCTAATATTTAGTTGTCTCTAAACTTGGTTGTGTGAGAAGGCACGGCACATCCACCTATGCCTCTATCTTGGCGGAAGTCTCTGACTGTGTTTTCTATTGCTAATATTTTGTTGTCTTTCAACTTGGTTGTGGGAGAAAGCACGGCTTCTCCACCTATGCCTCCATCTTGGCGGAAGTCCTTGTTTGTTTATTTTAAAATATTTTATTCATTTGTTTTTAGAGGGGAAGGAGAGAGGGAGAGGAATAACAATATATGGTTCCCGCTCATGTGTCCCCCACTGGGAACTGGCCTGCAACCCAGGCATGTGCCTCGACTGGGAATCGAACCATGATTGTCTGTTTCACAGGCCTGAGCTCAGTCCACTGAGCTACACCAGCCAGGCTTCAGCTTTTATTTTGATACTGTGCATTTAAGGGTGAAGATGTTTTTCATAGGTTTTGATATGAAGTATCTTTATCTACACTGAGTTTATTTTGTAATTCAAATGGCTTTATTTTTGAGGTTATTTAGAAGTGTATTACCTAACTACCAAATATAAGGACATTCCAGTCACTTAGTTTTAGTGAATTCTAGCTTCAGTGCAATAGGAGTACTTAGAGAAACGCACATACATTCAATGCTGCGTTGATTTTTGAAACTGTTTTTTAATTGGCTTCACCAAAAGATGAAAACCTTTGGGAAGATGGAATTATGAAGATGCCTGAAAGACTACAGAAGCAGTGGGAGAAAACGATGAATACGTTGTTTGATGAAATTACTGGTGAAAATGAAAAACGTCTGTTTCATTGTGTCTTTACTTAAAAATCAAATGAACCTTTTGGTCAAGTAAATAGTAGTGTTCCATGTGTGCCTCTCTGCTGCCATCTCGTGGGCCTTCTGGGAGTAACATGTCAGTGGCAGGTGAGCGGGAAAAGTGACTAGCAGAATACGAATGGATGTTGATTGCAATGTAATTTAGACGTGTATTTAGCAACTTTTATCTATCAGGACTAACTATTTACCTTTTGTTCCCGATTTCTACATTAACAGGAATGACAGAAAGAAACATACTGTATATAATTTCAGTCCTTTGAAGTTTGTTGAAAACTGATGGATGGTACAGTAGGGTCATTTCCAAAGTGTTTTTAGTTTGCATCCTGCTGCCGTGTCGTGGGCTTTCCTGGGAATGACACCTCAGTGCTGGTCTGCAGGAAAAGTGGTTGATTCCAGTGGAATATCAACCACTGTTGATTGCAGTGTTATTTAGAAGTGTGTTTCATTACTTTTAAATGTAAGGACCTGTGAATGACCATGTGTTCCTGATTTCTACATTAAGAGCAGTGAGAGCCAGAATTATACTGTATATAATTTTATTTCTTTGTAATTTGTGTAATCTTGCTTCATGGCTCATTATGGTCAGTTATCAAAATGTTCTGAGTGTGGTTCTCTTCCCATCTCAAGTGCATCTTGGGAAGAACCCCTTAGTGCAGGCCGGCAGGAAACGTGGTCAGCTGTAGTGAATGATGTACGAATGTTGAATGGAATGGTACTTAGTCATGAACGTTATTACTCTCATATAAACCTACTTTGTAGTTCATTTTTCCTTTTCTCCCCATGTACAAGAGTGGTATCTTTATGTCAGGTAACTGGACGTCCTTTGTGGGTCATACCTGTGTTCATGTTTCAGCTGTGTCCATGTGTTTGTGGTCCAATGTCCCATGTGTGTTGGCATCCTGGCAGCATCGATATCCCTTCAGTGTTCATGTCCCCACCACGATAATGTCCCAGGCTCACCGAAACCGTGATCATGTCTAGGTCCCCTCTGCCTTGATGTCCTGGCCATGCTGCCGTGTTGTCTGTGTTTGTGTCCCTTCCACATCACTGTCCTGTGTGTGTTGATGTCGAGGTCCTGCTGCTGTGTTGCCTGTATTTCAACATCCCATCTGCCTTGATGTCCCCACTGTGCCACTGTCCCATCCGCATAGATTTCTTGGCTGTGCCACTTTCCTACCTTTGTCCATGTCCCAGTTCCCTTGGTGTCCCAGCTGTACCTCTGTACTGTCTGTATCGATGTCTCAACTGAGTCAATACGTGAGCTGTGCCACTGTCATTTCTGTGTATATGTGTTGTTCGTGTTGATGTCCTGTCAGTGTCAGTGTCCTGCCTGTGCCCTTGTCCTCCTTCATTGATGTCCCGGCTCATTGATGTCCCAACTGCATCAGTGTTTCAAATGCTGCTATATCCCAGCCACCTGATGTATGGGCAGCATTGAGGTCCTGACTGCGACACTGTCCCACCTGTGTGGCCGTGGCTCACCTCCTGGTTGTGGCTTCATGCTCACCTGCCTTGCACTTGTGGGCTCCGCTGCCTTCTGCCAGCTGCAGGCAGAGGTGGATGGTTTGCACTCAGAAACACCCAGTCGTTTCACCCCCTGAGGGCGCTGCAAGGCCCTCCTGGCAGCTGGTTGCTCCCTCAGGCCATGTCTGCTGCTGTTGCCACAACATTCAACGATTTCAGCAAAGCAACCCATTCTCAACTGAATGATTATGTTGGTGAAATTTGGAAGAGTTTATTAATTTAGCTTGTGTCCTGTGGTTTTTGTGAGTGCCTAACAAAAAATAATATTCCACGAATGCTGCACTTTTAATAAATGTCCTATTACCCATTGTGCTGGTATAAGACCCTGTTTCCCCAGACTCCCAAAGGCCCTGTATAGCTGATATGACCTCATTGTCTGGTATTCATTTGTACTCATGCACGTATTAAATGTTGACTGTGTTGTATTGATCTGAGTTTGGTATTTTGTTTATTATCCCACAGGTGTTAGAGCTGACAAGGTTTATGGAAAATAATCCGTTTTAAACCCCTCACAGTTTGGAAAAGGCAAAAGTGTGGAATGAAGTCCTGAAGCTGTTGTAGGTGAGAGATCATGGACGTCTGTTCTCCAAGGTCAACATTGTTTTTGTTCACTCTGTGATTCAGCCTATTCCTGTTGGTTTGGTAAAATATTGAACTTTGCATTTGGAGAGACAAGGGTTTCATCTTGCTGAATCACAGGGATGTTTATAATGGGAGGATCTGGTTCATCTCCTGCCACTGGCCTCTGGCAGCAGGTGCCTGACGTCTGGTTCCAACCCAAA